AGGGTGAAGGACGAGGGGCTTGCTCTGTTGCGGACCTCGCTCAGTAGCATTTGTCAAGACCACCTTGGCATGCAAGTCGGCATGGTCTCGTGGGATTCGAGTGATGCGCCGCTCTACGATGTCTACCTGGTGCAGCATTCGGACTTCGGTCGCGTCGATAGCACCTGGGCCAGTATGGCGGGCAAGGCCTTGACCACCGGGCAGGAGCCCAAGGGCCGACCACCCGTAGTCGTCGTATGTCCCACTCCACAGGAGGCCCAGAAGATGGCCGCCACCGGTTACCGTAGCCCCTCGTCTGCCATCTATGAGTTTGTCAGCCAGCCGTGCGGACCGACCAAGATCGCGACGGCGGTAATGACCTGCTTTCAGCGGCGCGAGCAGCAGCAGACGCAGTCGGTGACGGCCAAAATGGATGCCACGCTGGAGGAGGAACCCGGTACGCAGCCAACCAAGTTCACCGCGGCCTATCACGCCTCCACCACAGACGTACAGACTAAGACATCGTCAGGTATGGACATTGCGCTGACCACCTCCACCACCATGGTCTCGACGACCACATCCAGCAAGGGGGATTCAGTGACCAAGATCTTAGCGATCGAGACGACGAAACGAGCGCCTGCGGTCCTCCTTGTGGATGACAACGAGGTGAACCTGAAATTGCTGGTTGCCTTCATGAAGAAAGCGAAACTGTCGTATTTCACGGCAACCAACGGCTTGGAAGCCCTGGAGGTATTCAAGGCCAATGCCGGACTGATTCAGATCATTCTCATGGGTAAGCACATTCTCCCGTTGGGCATTTGACCTGCGTGCTAACGTCGCCATAGATATTTCCATGCCGGTCATGGATGGTCTCGAGTCCACACGGCAGATCCGTCTCTTCGAGAAAGCACAGCAAGAACTTAGTCCGACGAGCGTGCCATCGGCCAAGCCCGCAGTGATTATTGCTCTGACCGGTCTGGGCAGTGCTACCGTCCGCCACGAAGCCCTCACTCACGGGGTGGACCTCTTCTTGTCCAAGCCGGTTCGGTTCCAGGAGCTGATCAAGCACATCGGCGAACTTGTTCATTGACCTTCCCCACCCTGCCTTTCCTTCACTTCTTCGACGTAAAAGTTCCCACATACCCCTTTTTGTATTGATGCGACGATTTCTGGGTGATGTATATATACGTGTGACGAGCATGATCTGGAAGGCGCATAAGAGACTTCCTTTGATAATAGATATATACCAATATATGTCATATACCCTTACTTGGACCTCACGTATACGCAGGTTGTGGAGTCTATAACGGATGATCGTCAGACCATTTACGGATGCAGGATCTAACATTCAGATTCACAAGGGCGCCCCGTCCCCCCGCTCTCGAGCAGTGGTGTTAGTCCGCTGAATGTACAGTAAGTACTATGTACAGTACATGCTTTCTCGGCTCCACATTGCCTCTTTCACTGGCACCCTAAGCCCGTTCTCTCTCGCATTGTCAGAATGACCTCGGTGTCTTCCTGTTGCGGACCTATTGGAACTAATGCCAGTACCTAGATTTAACAATGAACCTGCTTGTGGGAGAGTGAGCACCGTACAACACAGGGATGCTCGATGGACAATTGCACTCCATGCTAGTCTAGACAAATTGTCCATAACTTTCACCCAGCACGCAAACGCCGATGGCGACGACTTACTTTAATCCAAACCACACATCGACCCGACTGCAACATGTTGCCTGCTCCCGCTTAACGTATCCCGGCCTCATCGGCGATAGCACACCCTCCAAGACCGCCACCGGGCCTTAACGCCGAAAGCCGACGGCCTCTACTCGACATCAACACATACCGATCAAGCCCCCAGCGCTCTCTATCTAGGGTCCCTTCTGAAGAACGATAACTTTCATTGGGTCTGCAGGTCGCCTCGAACTCTCGCCAAAGACCGACGCACGAACTCGCCATCGAGGCAGCAGATGGCGTACCCCGGAAACACCCCTTTATATCTATGATGCTCAGCCAGCTTTGTTGTCGGGCTATCGTTTATCGAACCTTCGATGTTTCCCCAGCCCCACAATGTCCCTCACCTCCAGCACTAAAGCCCCGGTGGACCATGTCCAGACCCCCGAGGAAGATGGCATCGTCCGTTCCCGGCCTGGCAAGGCCACGAAGGAAGAACGTCGCATCCTCCACCGTGTGGACCGCCGGTTGATTGTCATGTTGGGGTTACTGCATACGGTCTCCCTGATCGATCGCGGGAATCTGGGGACCGCGTCGGTGGCCGGCATGACCAAGCAGTTGCATCTGATTGGGATGAGATATGTGCGTTCAGTCCCTTCGGGTTGTTCTCCGATGATCAGGGGAGAGGGGAGAGACTAATCTGCTATCTGTTGCGGCAGAGCATCATCGCCGTCGCGTTCTTCCCGCCGTACATCTGCTTCCAGGCGCTGGGGCCGGTCTTGGTCCGGAAGCTGGGGCCGGTGGCGTACATCTCGGGCGTGTGTTTTGTGTGGGGGGCTGTGATGGTATGTTTCTCCTTCTCCAGGTATCGATCTGGTGAATGCTGAGAAAGGCGTAGTTGGCGGCGGGCTTTGTCAAAGACTGGACCCAGCTGGTCGGCATTCGGATCGTTATCGGCGCCCTGGAGGCGGGCTTCTTCCCCGGAGCGGTATACCTGATTTCGACGTGGTACACGCGGTTTGAGATCCAGAAACGATACGCCTTGTTCTATCTGCTGGGATGTGTGGCGTCAGCTTTCACGGGGTTGCTGTCGTATGGGATTACCTTCATGGTTAGCAGCTCCTCTAACCCCCCCCAAGCCTGGATAGACCCATCTGACATGAGATAGAACGGCCTAGGAGGGCTGACCGCCTGGCGCTGGATCTTCGTGATCCAAGGCCTCATCACCTGCGTCCTGGCCGCGATCGCCTACTTCGTGTTGATCGACTTCCCCGACCGCATGCTGACCCAGCGCAACCGCTTCCTCTCGCCGCGCGAGTACGAGCTCGTGATCCGGCGCATCGATGCGGATCGCTCCGACGCCGCCCTCGAGCCGTTCAACCTCCGCAAATACCTGGCCGCCGGCCTCGACATCCATATCTGGGGCTTCGGGCTGATCTACTTCTGCAGTACGACCACTGCGTATGCTCTGTCGTACTTCCTGCCGATCATCTACCAGAAGGGCATGGGTTTCTCGACGGGCGTGTCGCTGTGTCTGTTTGCGCCGCCGTACGCGGCCGCGGGGATTGTGATGATGGCGACCTCGTGGGTTGGGGATCGCTATCGGATTCGCGGGCCGATCATTGTGTTTAACTCGGTGCTGAGTTTAATTGGGTTGCCGTTGATGGTATTTGCCCTTATCCCCTCTACCGTCCGTGTATGCATGACGGGTGGTGATGGTGGTGTTAATGTAGTGGATTAGGGCTTCACGACGGGCGTGGCGCCCCGCCTCGTGGGATGCTTCTTCACCACCATCGGCGCGAATGGGAATATCCCAGCCGCAATGGCGTATCAGGTTAGTCGTTGTCGTTGCCCCTGCATACTATCCACGTACAGTAGCTAATCTGGCAACCTGCAAGGCAAACAATGTGCGCGGCCAGTGGAAGCGCGCCATCTGCAGCGCCATCTTCGTGGGACTCGGGGCGTCCGGCGGGATGACGGGGTCGCTCGTGTATCGCTCGCAGGATGCGCCGAAGTACCGGCCGGGCATTCTGGTCAGTATCGGTCTGACGTGTTTGTCCATTGTGTTGGTGGGTTTGCTGTCGCTGCGACTGCATTATTTGAATAAGAAGGTGGATAAGGGGGAGTTGGTGATCGGGGGGTTGCGCGGGTTCAAGTATACGCTCTAGCCATCGCCGTCACCACAGAACATATGATATTCAATATACTTGCAGAATAGTCTCACTCTAATCTATGACCCAAGCACTAAGCCAGCCCCTCCGCAAGAAACCCCCTAACCACCCCCCCAACCTCTTCCACATCATCCACGTGCGGAAAATGCCCCGTCCCCTCCACGACGTACTCCCGCAACCACCGCCCAACCACCTCCTTCCGGACAAACGCCGCATGCGCCGTCACGTCGCTCTTGCGCAAGCTTTTTCGTTCGCTTTCGAAATCGCCCTCCTGGCTTTGCAGGTCCAGCAACCGCACTGGCTTTTCGCCCGTTGCTACCAATTGGTCGTTGTGGCGGTTGAGGGCGTGCAGGATCTGGGCGAATCGTCCATCGACCGTCCCGTAGTAATGCGACATCCGGATCAGATATGCGAAGTCCAGGCGGGAGTAGGCGTCCTGCACCGCGGCGATGGTTTGGGGGCTGGTGTGCGGGCCGAAACACCGGGCGATGCGGTCGGGCATTGTGCTGCGGTAGTATTCGGCGTGAGTGGCGAGGATGTTCAGGTCCAAGGGGGTTGGGGGTGTGGTGCCGGCGTAGGGGCCGTCGAGAAGGATTATCTCTGCGACTTTAAGGGATGAAGGTGCCGTGGTGAGAGTATGGGCGAAGAGGTCGAGAACGGTCAGGGTGCCCATGCTGTGGCCGTAGAGGGTGGTGGGAATTGGTGTTGGGTTAGGGCTGGAGGCTGAGGATGGGAAGAGGGTAGAGAGCAGTTCCGCATGCAGCTGGACGAGAAGTTCGCTGACTCCTCCAGCCTCTGGGGTGGGCAAAATGGCAGTCGGTGACTCGCCATGGCCCGGGAGGTCGACAGCGACATAGACGTGGCCTGCGCTGAGGGTGCGGCCGTGGGCGTGGAGGTGGGTGATCAGGGGGATGTAGTCGGTGGCTGGACAGCCGAATCCGGGGATGAAGAGGGAGATCTGCTGGAGCGAGGCCTGTGGACTCGTAGCATTGCTGAGGTAGGAGAGGCCGGTGGACGGCGAGGTCTGGCGCTGAAGCTGTAGAGGCTCAGTGGTCATTTTGATGATGTTGACGTATGGATTGGATGGCACGGGATGGCACCATGCAGGTGAGAAGCTTGATATTTATCCCAAGTAAAGTAAAGCTGACAATTAATGATGAAAACAGGTGAAACTAAAGGCACGGGAGCTACAGTTAGGGCTCCTTCACGTATCGCCATTCCGTACACCGACTCAACTCAACCCCCCTCAACGCCTCAACACCGTATCCCAAAACAGAGCAGTCCAATCCACCATCTTCAATGCCCGGAAATAGGGACCCACGGAGCTCGACACTTGGGACACGCTCTCGCCCGGCCATTGGGCTCGACGCTGTCAAGCCAGGCATTGATACACTCCGAGTGGTAATTCTGCTTGCATAGTGCCGGGCATGGGGTCACATCCTGGATTTTCTCGTCCATGGCTAGAAAGCAGATCGGACACTCCGCCTCCTCGTCAATATGTTTAGGCCACGGCGCGCTACACCGGGGACAAGGCATGTTTTGATTGGCATACGTCTCGCGGCACTGGTCGACCCAGCGTTCCGCACAAGCCTCGTGAAGCCACGCTCCACATTGCTGGGGACAGCAGAACTCGTAGTCCACGATGGGCTTTCCACAGACCGCGCAATTCTCTTGAAAGATGTCCTGCCAGCACATCGGACACGGACAGGGCTCTTGGTTCTCGGAACTTCTGGGGGTGCGCCAGTCTGAGACACAGTTGTCATGATACAGTGTGCCACATCCGCCGGGGCACGAGAACCCGTCCTTGTGCATGTGTTTGTGACAGATCAGACAGCAGTCGTCCTTGATCTTGAGGTTGTCCAAGGCTGCGTTGATGTTGTGGTAGGGAGGCGGCCGGTCTGCGTTGGTGGTGCTTGCATACACTGGAACGCCCCCGGAGACATCACTGGACAACATGGAGTCTGGATCGGCGTCTTCACTGTCAGAGTCTGGATCGGAGGCTTCATCGTGACTCAAGAATTCCACGTCGCTGCCGAGTTCGTCCCAGTCCACGACTTTGGATCCCGCGGCACCATGGGTGCTGAAGCCAGCGCTGAAGCCGCTTTCATACCCACTCTCGTTTGGTACGGGGCAGATCTGAACCCGGGCTTCAAGACTGGACTTGCAGGCACCAGCGGTGCTGAAGGTAGCGCTGAACCCGCTTCCACCACAGTTCTCATTGATTACGGGGGAGAGGGTCTGAGCCCGGTCCGTGACTTTTGACCCGCAGACAGCAGCGGTGCTGGAGGTAGCGCTGAATCCACTGTTCCCTGAATCCTCGCTGCCTACGGAGGAAGGCTGATCCGGGGCTTGAAGGGCACCCGACATCAGAGGCTCAGAGGACCCGGCACGAGCGCTTGACCCTGTAGCTTGACGAGATGAAGCGATAGAGCTTGACAACTTTCGTCCATAGATTTTCGAGGGGCCTGCGTGGGTACGCCCAACCGCCGAAGAGGTGGGCACATTCCTCACCTGAGACCCCGAAGAGACGGGCTTGGGCGGATTGGCCGGGGTGTGAGCATAAACCCGATGCCCTCCCTGGCCCTCTCTTTCCTGTTTCCCTGCTTGATGTCCCTCTGCGGTGCGAACTGGTTGTTTCCCTTTGGCGATCGATGAAGGCTCTTGCCGACGGTCTGAGTTGTCCTTTGCACGACTGCTCACGGTGGACTTGCGATGGTCATGACCGCGCTTTCCAGCTAACCATCCGAGAAAGCCTCCCGCTGGGGCTGGGGCACGAGGACCTTCAGCGGACTTGTTCTTGGAGGGGCTTTTTGGGTGTTTCTCGGGCATGATGATGGTGGTGGTGGTGGTGGTGGTGGCGAGATGTCAAACATGCGTGTCTCAAGCTATCCATGTTATTTCTGAACCCCAAGCACGACCTTTATACTGGAACCACAAAGATTTGACGAAAGCACCACGAACAAAGCGGCTCACTCCATCGGAGAAGACCACTATGCGTATCGACGAGCTCCATCATGACTGAAAGAGGACGAGCAAGCAAGCAAGTGGAATGTGCCGGCTGGTGAGGACAGAACCCACCCACTCGTTGCCCCCGAGCCTTTGTATAAATACATCGGTTTGTTCTCTTATGGAATAGCCCTGAGAGAACTTCCCCCAATACTCCACACATATTGGCACCCTTCTTTCAACCTTGAACAAACCACGCAGTATGGCTCAACGTCTAGTCCCCGACATCGACGAGACCTTGCCCGTCCACGACGCCGAAGCCCTGGACCACCAGGCCCTGTCGCTCGTCATGGACCGGGCCTTCAATCGCATGGGCCACTGGTATTCGCACCTCATCTACACCTACGACTACCAGGTGAACATCCTCCAGACCAATTGGTCGGATCCAGGGCTGCGTCACACCGTCCTCGACCTAGTGACGCGCTCGCGAAATCATGGCCTCGAGGTGCTACATGGGGACATCCAGGATTGGGCCGCGGTCTTGTATCGAATGGAGCGCGCGCTCGCCGGCATCTTGACGGAGCTCCTTCTGAACCACGTTACCGATGAGGAGCGCGAGGATCCGCTCATGTGCCGGTTCCGTGAGGTGTTCGCTACTGGCAACGTCACGGCGGGCACCTCCTTTGCCACCTCCTCCACCTCCTCGGTCGATATGGAGATCCTGCGCCAGTTGGAGGACATCGGTGAGCAGGAACGCGCCCGGCATCGCCGCCGGGCTCGCGCGACGAACCTGATGATGTGCATTGCGCTGGCCAAGCCCATCCAGATCCTGCGCTTGATGATTCCCCATCCCGCCAAGACCATGATGGAGCTCTGGAGCAATCCGTTCGAGTATCCGGCGTGGCAGAACCACTGGCCGTGGGGTGGGGATAGTTTCTTCCCCCCCAGGGACCCGGTGCCACCCCCCACGGAGGCGGATGCTGCCCCCGTAGCTAGCCAGCGAGCGATCGGGCCGGATGACATATGTCCCATCTGTCGGGGCGAGTTCCAGACCGAAGACCAGGAGGCGGCGTTGCCCGTCGTCTGGTGTGCGCGCTGCGGGAATAACTTCCACGGCGCCTGTCTGTCGACCTGGCTGGACGGCGCGGGCTCGTGCCCAATGTGTTTTTGCTTGTGGCAGACGGGGCGGACTGGGTAGATTGAAGTTCAGTCGGCCTGCCTTACGCAGGATCTTCTTATCGAAATAGAATCGATTTCTAAGGTTATTATTATCCCATCGCTTTTCTTTCCCCCTAGCTCTGTATCGCGAACCCGGTGATCCGGTATTGCATCTCTCACTGTGTCAACCAGGATCTTCCAGACCGTTCATTAGACCAGAACGCCAAACCACACCCAGTTGCTGATTGCTGTCCAGCTAAATCAAAGGCTTCCTCCCATAGGCAACCTTACTATATGATTATCAGCCCGGGCTTTCCCCACTCCAAACCACAGCACTTACATCTTAGTATACGAATGCAAGGACCGATCCTTCAACTGCTGGCGCACCAAGCCTTGCATGAGCTTCGTCCGTTCCTGACTCCAGCCCAACACCTGCGTACACAGCCGCAGGCCATACGCCTCGACGGCCTTCTCGACCATGGCGGCCTGCACGCGCCCGATCTCGCGCAGCCGGGGGTCCTGCGGCCACGGCGAGAAGGGCAGGATGTAGGTCTGCTCGTGCACGTCCTCGAAGCCGTGCGCGATCAGCCACGGCTTCAGGTCGATGTAGATGTTCAGCTCCCGGCCGATCATGTGCGCCGCGTCGTTCAGCGACATCAGGTACTCCATCAGCGGCGAGTCCATCCTGAGCGTGCCGTCGTCGCTCCACGCCCAGACGGCGCTCTCTTGGAGTTCGAGGTATCCACCTGGTTTGAGGTGGTCGTAGGCTTGTCGGATCAGGCGGTGCCAGTCGACGACGCAGCTGTTGAGGGGTGGTTAGTGTAGGGGTTGAGGTTGGGTGAGGGGGAGAGGACGGAGGAGAGGGAGAGGGCGGGCACAGTACCCTGCTAGGTTGCGGGAGTGGATGAAGTCGTAGGCATTCATCTTCTCGAGCCAGTCGGATTCGTAATCGTCGACGAAGAAATCCACGTTGGGGGGCACCCAGGCGGGCTGGATGGGGCTGAGATCATTGCCCACTACGACGGCACCGGGGTACTGGCTGGCGCACACTTAGTAGGTGTTGCTTGCGTAGACATGTGGCCTGAGGAGAGAGTCATACTCGGCGAAATCTATGGCCCAGTTGCCGGTCCCTGTGCCCAGGTCGAGCACTTTCTGGGGGTTCTTGATGGGGGCGTTGAACAACTCGCCCCCCATCAGCATGAGGTAGCTTGCCAATACCGGTCAGCTCATGCTGCAAGAGGGAGGTAGTGCAGGCTAAGGAAGCTCACATGTGATGGGTCTGGCAGTGTTAGTACTTGTTAGAGAGACGACAAGCAAGGGAAATAGATACCAAGTCCAGCCTTTCTTGTTCCTCTTCGTCATTCGGCATCCTGAGCTTGTTAATACTGTCCTATGCATCCCGAAGGGGTTGGATTACATGTAATTTCCCTACGGTCGCATACCCTCATTAGACCTTGGCACACTTGCTGTAAGAGGTTAACCTACCGAGCGAAAGCTGGCGTATCGACGACCATTCTCATACTGGTAGTCGAGGATACTGGAAGAGAGCGAATAGGAATCCATGAAGTCCTCATCATAGTCGCTGCGCATCGACTGCGGGAGGGGGCAAATGCAGAGTCAACAGTCAACCAAGGACCCAGAAACCAAGCATCACCCAGTGGACACTCCGGGCCGGGCCGCAGACACAAAACCTAACTTACCTCGGTGTCGGTAACAAAGTCTTCGTGCTCTGGAGGGGGACTCTCCGGCCCCAGAGGCGACAAAGGAGCGTGGGGCGGTTGGTGGCCGTGGGGCTCCGGGTCCTGTGCGTGCCCATAAGAGTTGCTCCCAGTGGGATGGGGGAACTGATGTTGCGGTTGCTGCTGTTCAGCGGTAGTCATGATGAGGGTAAAGATGTAAAGATGATGTGATTGAGGGTAAGTGAGAGGAAGAAGCAACAAGTGCGACTCTCCCCCTTAGAAATATGGGGAGAGAATCATGGGAACGCCATCCGACGAGCCGACGGAAATTGACAGGTGCAGATCGCAGGATTGCACCTGTCTCTCCCAGTCGATCCCCGTTTATCCCTCGTTCGATTGTGTGACCCGAGTGTCGTCATTGCGATGAGCCTATAGCAAGCAGCAAGAGGCAGGGATCGGGCAGCGCAAACGCCAAGAATGATCGCTTAGCTTCCTGCGTCAGCCTGTCATCAGATGCAGATCCCTACAGGTAGGGCCAGGAAGGGATGGAATGCGTGGGTCCAACGGTGCCAACCATTTAGTCATACAAAACGTGAGCTGTCATTCTCGCTAAGTCTGTTAGACAGCGCACTATTGAAGTCAAAGTGGGCTGGCACGCTTAGCTGTCCCACTGCGGTTAGGGCACTCCAGGCACTCAATCCAATATGAAGACACAACCAAAACTGCGGTCAACGCGTCCTATGCTATCGGTATATCTATATACAAAGCCAACATGGTCGTTTCCCTCCAATCCTGTCATCCTGTCACCCGGTCACCCGGTCACCCGCTCAGTGACGCTTGGGACGCGCCAGATGACGACGCATGGCATCCCGGCGCGTGGCGGCGGCTGAAATGGTGATGGTCTCTGAGATCCCGGCGGTGCAGACCGTGCCCGCAGCCACACTCTGGGACGCATCCCATTCCCCGTTGACGCAGCGCTGGAACGCACTGCCCCCGTTGCAGTACCAGTAGCCCTCCTGGCTGCAGGCGCCACTCAAAACCCCAGAGGTCGTCGACGAAGCCGAGCCCGAAGCCGCAGTGGCCACCGAAGTCGTGGCCGTCGTGGCAGGTTCACCAGAGGAACCCTCAGTAGCCGAGTTGTCGACTGAAGCACCAGCTTTGACTTGACCGGGCTGGAAGCTGATGTCGCTACCGGCGGTTGGCTGGGCAGAGATCGCGGTAGTCGCACTGGTCTCGGAAGGAGCCGAAGACGCGGTCGGAACAGCCTCCGCGGTCGTACTCACGATGGCGGCAGCGGTGGTGGCCTCAGCAGGGGTACCAGCAGAAGTGGTGGTGGTATCGGCAGCAGCGGCCGCGGTCGCAGTGCTACCAGCAGTGTACAGTGCGGGGCCGGGAATCGTATACGTGCTCAACGTGTTCCAGATGTCAACGTAGATCCCGGGGTCGGTCTCCTTGTACAGAGCAGTGCCCAGGGTGCCACTTGGGGTCGCTGTCTCGCTGCCCGTGACTTCCAGATTGATGCACTGGGGGTAGTTCTGGGCTCCGTCCAGGTTCTCGGCGCTGTGTAGGGCAATGATCTCGTGTCGCAAAACATAGTATCCCGGGGCAATATCGCTGGGGATTGTGATGTTGCGGCTGTAGCTATCTTCAATGAGCTCATCGGTCGCCCAAGTTCCAGGCACGTCCGTGTCATCGATCAGGCCGCCCGCATCGATCTTGAAGAATTCCAGGGTGGTCTTGTCCACATCAGCACAAGAACCGTGGCAATTGGCCATATACGTGATGACGGGGCCGTGATGGTCGGTAGGCCAGGTGTTCCAGGTCATCTGCACCCAGCCTCCGGGCGCGACAGGGGCCGACAACGCGCCGGGCGCAGACCCCTTGTGGCAGATGATGTTCACGCTCTCGTAGTCGGAGGGTGACACATAGCCATCATCCGTGGCATTGGTGGACCAGGCGATCAACTCGGGCGGGTCGGATTCGAAGTAATAAGTGTCGACCAAATACCCTCCATAGGTGGTACCGTCCACCTCGATGCTCGAGACATAGCCATGACCAGCGACCAGCGAGACCGAGCCCAGTAGAAGAGTGGCAATCTTGGAAAGAGACATATTGGCAGAAGCACCGCACAGCGGTGTGTTGGAGAGAAAGTAGAAAGAAAGGAAGGGACTTCAATCAATGAAGCCCAGAAAGGAACGAAGGAGCGACTGAGGAAAGGAAAGACAGTTTTGCTGGATAACCCTCCGATGCCAGAGGAGGGAATTCGCGTCTATTTAAGCATGTGGGAGGCATGATGTCGGATTGGAGATGACGAGGGTCGACAAAGAATTGAGCATCCCAAGCGAGATAGGCAAACCTTGTGCCTGGTGGCAACCGAGGCGAATGAGCCAGTGGTTTGGGGTCTTGAGCAGCCGGGAAGGTTCAAGGCTGTCTAGTTTGTCTCACCAATTCTGAGACAGACCAGACTCCTTCGTTACTTGACGCTGTGGTGGGCCTGCGGAAACACGCCATCAGGACGCCAGTGGCTTTAGCGAGATTGAGGTGGGGCCTCGGTGTCGGCGGAATGGGCACTCAGAGGACGAGGGAGAAGAGTTGCGAAGGTATGGAAAGATGTGGAAAAAATGAGGGAGAAGGGAACAAAAATATTAAGATTATTTGGCAGGATGTGTGATACATCGTGATGTTGATGTTGATGTTGATAAGGGATGGAGTACCTCCGCAGATGAAGAGGAGAGAGAGGACAGAGCACGTGATCATGGCTCGCGGGAACAAGGACCCGGAGCGGAAGAATCCCGTTCCGTCTGGTCACGTGCCCAGCTTCCCTGCTCACCGCAGTAGTTACCTTATAAGGTACATAGCTTCTCCCGCGTCCTCTGGTCCTTGTCTGGCAAGTAGTGATATCGCTAAAATAAATGAAAAGAAAAGAAACGGTGCTGTCATCTGCGATCATGCCTGTCTGGACAAATCGAGTCTCGTTTGCGTTTGTGGCGAGTGGATACCTGCCCGCCATCTAGCACAGGCACCCACACTTCACTTGCGGTGTGTGTATCATCTCCTCACATTAGCATCCAAGAAGAATGGTTTCGAATTTCTCAAGAGAGAAAAGCAGAAAAAGAAAAGGTCTTTGTGGCTCGTAGGTCAGACTCTTGGCTAGCCTCGCGTCTCTATACCATGCTTTGATCGAATTGATTTCAGAACTTGTTTACCTGTTCAGTATACAGTCCTATTCTTACTATTCTCCGGTCACCTACTTTTGGGAACCCTACTAATTGTCTCGTGCACAAGTCTCTGTTATCACACGCGATGCCATTTCAACATGAGTGAATTTGTTGGCAGATAGAAGGAGTAGTACTCATTCACCTTGACAGTCACGAAACAATATAGTACCCCGGCTCTCGTCGATAGCCGATCTGCGTTGAGAGCGATGATGTCTCTTGTTGGTCGTATATCATATTACCTTCGCTATTTTTTGGAATGTTTGGTATGTAACAAGTCATCCGAAACTGGAGGCAGGATTTATGCACAGCTGTCCGGTTATGTCTTCACTCTCCCCCCACAAACCGCAGTCGATGATCTCCTTCGCGGTCCACGATCGATGGTATTGAGTTCGTCGTCGTATGCTGGACCCAGAACCTTACTATATACTCATCGCCTTTCTGCCCAGTAGGCTCATTCGCTGGATGGGCTCGGATTCATACCGATATCAATCAGGGTTGTTCCGAGAGAGCGTTATCCGATACGAAGATAATCCTGATAAGCGCCACAAATGACGGCGAATCGACTGCTATCTCCCCCAGAATGTTATCGTTCGCGACCGCGACGCCCGCGCACTCGGAATGTACCGATTGCGCTATATGAACCCCAGACTGGGCCCCCTCAACATATCGACATGAAGTAGATCCGCTCATACCTTGCGACGTGCTGCGATGGAGGAATTATCGCCCCGCCCAAAGCCATACCCGTCGGTAACAACGAAAATGGGGAAGAGTGTTGAGTCCGTACAGGACCAGCAAGATGTGGAGGTCGGCGTGGTGGCAGCCCTGGCTCAGGAAGGGCCGGGCCTCAAGCGCAATTTCAACATGATCAGCATCATGGCCCTGGGGTTCAATACATCCAACAGTTGGATTGCTATTGCAGGAAGCTTGCCCCTGGCTATTGCAGGAGGTGGCACGGTGACCTTACTGTACGGTATCTTGGTGGTGTGCTTTGCAATGTCCTGCACTGGGCTCAGCCTGGCTGAGCTGGCAGCTGTGTATCCATCGGCCGGTGGCCAATATTACTTCACTTCCATGTTGGCTCCGGCCCAGCATCGCCGGTGGTTGTCCTACCTGTGTGGAATCATCGGTATCTGGTCATGGGTGGCCATCGCTGCTTCGCTGTCATTGATGATCACGGAGGGTATTATGGCTTTGGTTCTCACCTATCACCCTACCTTCCTTCCACAATCCTGGCATTACTTTCTTATGTATCAAGCGGTGCATATCATTGCCATGGCGTACAATATTGGGCTACTGTCCAAGACGGTCTGGGTCTATGACTGGGCCTGTGAGTATTCGACCCATTGCTCTTTGAAGGCAACATCTTAATGGCGATGACAGTCTACTTCTCCCTGGCCCTGTTTGTTATCACCACAATCGTCTGCCCCGCACGCTCGGCCGTTCATGCAGACTCGTCCACCGTCTGGGGTCATTTCGTCAACTCCTCAAATGGGTACTGGTCTAATGGAATTGTATTCCTGACCGGTCTGTCGACCCCGTCCTACATGCTCATCGGTCTGGACGCCACGATGCACATGGCAGACGAGTGTCTTGAACCAGCACGGACAATTCCGCGTGCCATCTTGTCCACAGTGGGCATTGGCTCTGTGGCTGCCTTCGCGTTTGCCTTGGCCATGTGCTACAGCGTGACCGACTTTGACAGTCTGGTTGATGCTGCCTCAGGGTAAGGCGGGATGCTTAATTTCAGCGTCTTTGTGCTAAGCTCAAATTTGACAGGTTCCCAATCTACGATCTATGGGCACAGGCAAGCCGATCGACAACCTGCGCGACGGTCTTCCTCGTCGTGATGATTTCGATCATGTTTGTTTCAGCTTGCGCGATTCATTCTACTGCCTCACGGTTGACCTGGTCGTTTGCATGCGACAACGGAATCTTCCTCTCGGGGTACTTGAAGCAGCTGGACCGCCGACACGGCGTTCCTCTGTACGCTCTAGGCCTCAATTTTATTGCCTGCTTCGTGATCGGATTCCTCTACCTCGCGTCTTCTTCCGGTAGGAAACCCCAAAGATCGTCGTGGCCCACGAGCCGGGTCGTGAGTACGAGACTGACTCATCTGCTCTAGTCTTCAATGCGTTTGTCGGAACTGCCAGCATTCTGTCGCAGATTTCCGTCACGCTACCAATCGCATTGCTCATCTGGCAGCGTCGGTCGGAGATCTACCTCCCCAGCGGACGCCACTTTGGTCTTTCGTCGGGACTGGGCTACTGTTGCAACATCGTCGCTGTGGTCTATACCATGATCGTCACGATCTTCCTCTGTTTCCCTACTTCCTTCCCGCTTACGGGTGGCGATATGAGTAAGTTTCCCCGGGGTTCTTGTCCTCACTGGTCTGATTACTGAGTACATTGTACATTGAACATTAGACTATACCGCTCCGGTCCTCGGGGTAATCGCAATCCTAACCGGGCTGAATTGGGTATTCTATGCGCGTAGTCGATACGAGGGTGCTCACGTGGGGTAGCGTACATCGCATCGGTGGACTTTTCCTAGATAATGAACTTATGACGCTGGCGTTGAATTCACTCGGAAAAGCTTGTGCGGTGCTTCTTATTCCACGTAGATTAGAGAGGGTGGGCTTTGCCCACCGGGGGTCCGGAATGTCCTTCGGAACGGTTCCTATCGACTACCGTTTCAGATAAGATAAGATTGAGGGGTGAGGGGGGCGTAAGTTACCTATACCTATACGGATACTGCTACTATCGTAGACAGAGTCAGCCAGCCTTCAAGTCAGCACCAAGATTCAAACTACTTGACCGGACATAAGACTCACGCTCCTCCTGTCTTGGGACTCGAGTATATATTGGCTCCATTTGATCATCTGGAATGAGTTAGATGAAAGGGTCGGGAGAGGCTCTTCCGTATGTTGAGTTGAGTATTTGTGAATAAGTTGACCAGTACACCAAGCTCCTCAAAGTCTCAGACATTCAGCTCTAACTGGAGCTATATGTCCTGGATCCATGATCTGATAAGGGCTTCTTGAATTCGGGTGTCAATCGGATTGTTTCGGCAGGTCGGCTGCTGCCGGTTTGGAGCCCCGCAAAACCTGCAAATAAGGATCGCCGAAATATCCCCGTTCTCGGATCCGACAGCCCTGCCTTTGCCTGGAAATTGCAGCATTGCAGCATTGCAGCATTGTAGCAAGTTGCCCGATTATGCAATATGGACCGAATACTAGTGATTTATTTGGTCTGACTCTTTCCTTCCTTTCTCCCCTTCGTTCAGCGTCCAAATCTCTTACCGCTCAATCTCCCCTCCACCACATCTATTCACTCATTTAACCTGCCACTCAAACCGCGGTTCTTCGGCCTATAAACTATTCAAAGTACACACTCATTCTTTTCTCCTCTGTTCAGCTCTATACACTGAAGGTAGGGTCCAACCAGTATTCCCAGCAATACGAAATCTTACTAATCCTCGTGGCAGACACCATGCTCATCACCCGCGGATTCTCCCTAACGAACTTCGTCATCGCCAGCTCGGCCCTCTGCTTTCAAGTCTTCGTCCTTTATCCCTGGCACCACAAGCTCGAGGACGACTTCAAGGAGCTCAAGAAGGAGCACTTGCGTCTGTTGCAGGAGAATGAGGATAGCCGGGTGAAAGAGCTGAAGAGTATCAAGGAGCACCTCGGTCTTCTCCATCAGAAGGCTCAAGTGTGAGCGACATTGTGAGGCATAGTACGGGCACTTTCGAATGATTCATGCATTACATCAGCGGGATAGAGATAGACTGCATGCATAGAGGAGGACGCGGGATTGTATATACTGCGCGCCTGAATCGAACGTCTTCTTGCTCTTTTGCTCGACGGACACCTCCAGATAAAATTGGGTGCAACATACAGTGACTCGGGATCCTAACGGTTATGATCCACTGGAAAAGACCAATCGTGCCAGAACGATATCACATCCAAGCAGGAAACACCATGATTGTCACATTCTGATTAGCTTGCTAACTTGAATACGAATTTCAAACAAGTTCTCGCCTCAACACTACCCCTCTTAGGCTATCAGGCCGATACATTGACAGCTGCGTTGGCAGGGCCCGTGACAGCCGCGTTAGCAGCCGCCTCCAGAGCGTCCCTCGCCGTCCCAGCTGCAGCTCTGTCGGCAGCCTCATTGGCAGCCCCATTGAGGGTGCCTTTGAGACCCCTCACATTGCGATCCGCCCGCACAAACGCCTTGTAGCTGGGAAACAGCCCCTGGGGATCATAATTTTCCCGGACGTGCAGGAACTTCTGCAAAGCCGTGTCGGTGATCACCCGCGCCTAGACTTGTGTAAGTATCGCATATCAATCGGTGGGAGACAAACGTACGTTGACCTCCTCCCAGTTCGGATCCAGATCCACGACAAACATCCCCACGGCAACAGACAGAGCCCGCTCATACCGTTCTCGGATATGCTGGCGGAGACCGGACTCGCGCTTGGGGTCCGTCCAAATAGTCGCCGTCATCAGATACAGATCCTGGGGCAGGCTCATCACCATCTCGTTCTCGTCGGGCCGCTGGTCGCAGTGGTAGATGTATACGTTGGATTGCCGGGTGGGCAGATCTAGCAGGGCGGGTTTCATGGTTTCCAGCAACTGACCTTTGTTAGTGCATACTCCGATGGAGCCTGTGAGAGAGAGCAGGAGAAGAAGAAGAAGAATATAAGAAGACTCAAGGCCAACTCACCCGAGGTAGCGAGCAACCCGGATCGCTGAAGATACTATTGTTGTGGACGCGGGTGCCCGGCCCCGGACCGGCTTCTCCGGCCGCCAGAACTTCCTCGAAGGTGCACTTCTGGACGGGCTGTTTGTCGAGCATGAAGTCCTGCACCTCGTCGACTTGGTCGTAGGCACCGAGCATGGTCTGCGCTTCAGACTCTGTGTCAGCGTAGCAGTACAGCAGCAACGTGAGGTGCAAGCGGGCCCCCGGGGGGACCTCATCCCCGGTGGCGTCCACATCGTCCTGCGCGTACGCAATGGCCATGTTCAGATCCGTGTGCTCCTTGGGGGTGGCCCGACCGGCCTCGATGGCCCAGGTCAGCAGCGTCTCGTAGTTGTCGTGGTTGATCTCAAATTGCAGGGTCCGTTGCCAGGGATTCTTGGCGGGGATGGTCTTGCCCCAGAACCGCGTCACAACCCCAAAGAAGCCCAGTCCACTACCGCGTGCGGCCCAGAAGAGGTCGGGGTAGTGTTCGCGGTCCGCAAGGACCGTCTCCCCGGTGGGTAGGACGATCTCCATCCGGGTGACGAAGGTCGCGGCGGCACCAAGACTCCGCATGAAGAACCCTTGTCCGCCCCCGAGAAGATAGCCGGCCATGGCCACGGTCGGAGCATGGCCAATGGGAAAGAAGCGGCCGACTTCGCTCAGCTTCTCGGTTACCTCGCTGATGCGGCAGGACGGCCCAAAGGATATCTGCGTGGTGGCCTCGTCGTAGTCGACGCGTCGGTTGAGGTTGGTGGTGTCGATCAGGATGCCGTCTTGCACGAGATAAGGCGATTGCGCGGCGTGGCCCGATGACCGCACGCTCACGGTGGTTCCAAGCTCGGTGGCTCGATTCAGGGCTTTCTGTACGTCCGCTGGGCTCTCCACGAGATGGATCTCACGGGGATAGCGAGGGCCGGCCGCACTCGGGTTCATCTCGCGACATCGTTCGTACTCGGGGTCCCCGCGGACGAGAACCTTCGAGGAGTACTCGGGGTGTGTGATGTATTCAGGTGGTGCCATTGTGTTGAGATTGATCGGAACTCGATGCTGTTGAGATTGTATGGGGACTCGAACAGTAGCAGAATTGCAAGGCCATCTATATAGCTTCCCATCCCCATCCTTGACTCTTGACGTCACTGGATGAAGGTGGCTTGATGAAGGAGTGGTCAAATCCTATTTTGCAGCGTGTGTTCTGGTGTCTATACCAGACGCCATCAACTGGTCGGGAAGAGTAGTATCCATGGTTGGCAGGTTGCGGCATGTGCAGCATGCAAGGGTGAAACTGAAAGCTGGAGAAACTCTGGGATGACCAGGGAAATGGTGCCTTGAACCTGGAAGAACTTTGTCTGACACCGTGCTGGGCGGGCCCTTTTGACTGTCTGGAATGTCAGAGGCGTGCATGACGGTATCATCGAGGGGTTGTATGACGAAGGATGATGGTTTACAGTAACTTACACAGTAGGCGCCATGAGCAAGCAGTCAGGTGCTTTGCCCTGCGGCCAATTCTACTCTGCGATCAAACTATAGTAGTCCTTGATGAGATAATCTTCTCTGCGTGCTGAACATCAGTCATTTGTCCGAGCTGCCGCGATCCTGTCAGTTAGTCTTGGATATTCTCGCCGGATATGACTTCACTTTCCGTCAAGCTCGTCTCAGATGGGGACAATGCCGATGTTTATCTGGTGTACAGGATGAACACTTTGATTCTGCATGAGGTCCGACATCTAAGTTGTCAAGTACTTGAAAAGATGAAGCAGAAGAAAAAAAGAAGCTCAAGGATGGTTAACCTGATGCTCATTGGCAGCATAAGTTAGGGCTTGCAACATTCAGGAGTGCCGATGTCGGATGCGACCGAGGCAATTTGATTCTATTCTCGTCCCTGATGTCAACCATGATCTTCTTCATCTAGTCGCGGCTCCACTTGGCGAAAAAGTCCTGCATCAGTAGCCGAGTCTTTCCGTCACGCTTCCACCCAGAACCAAGGATCAAGGATTTATGACATATCATAATTTCCATTGCGACCCTTGCTACTGGCTGTTTGCTGGTGATGGCGAGCAAGCGACCGTCTCACGCAGTCCAGAGCTCCCCCGCAAGGCTTAATCAAATTCGGGATGGATGAAACCAGTCCTTGTCGGATGTCAACCTTACTCTGATGTCATCTCGCCCTGCTGACGTCTGCTAGAGGACGGGGGACCCGCTCGATGAAGCGGAAAGATGGTCAGTGGCTAACGATCTCAATCTCAGACATCGATCTAGAATTGAGTCCTGGTTGATCTGTGTCGGCCAGCTCGAAGCAAGGGCGCCTTTTTTGGTCTACCGATGACACTATTCGAGGGCTCGATCGATTCTCGACGATTATCACATGGCTTTCCAGGTGACTGGATTGATGATAATGCAATGCAAGGGTTATCTTTGACTGACAGTCTAGAAATCTTTCTTTTTCTGCGACCCGTCAGTCTTGAGCGGACTGCCACATGGTTGACTCGATCGGCATCAGGGGCTCGTGAAGATGGGGACAGGTCATAATGCGCCGGAGGCCTGAGCGAGAGATACTCATTATCTGTTCACCCGTCTCGTATTTTGGCCGCGATAGATATCTAAACTCAATTCAGATGTGTGATCGCTCATCCACATTCACCCCGTTGTCGGCCGGGAATGCTCGGCGAATGTAGCAGCTTTGCCGAAGCCGAACCTCCACAGCATGGAGAGCTTCAAACTCCGGTCGGCAGTAGGCAGTAAGTTATCTTGGAACTAATCGTAAAGGAGTCTTCTCCGGAGTACTGCTTGTTCTCCAACTGTACTGCCTCCGTGAAAACCAAGGAAAAGGGGGAAGACTAGGTCTTTTAGGTTTCCTTGCAGTCTGCCCCGGGATGGAGATACGAGGGCGAATGCACAAGTCACAATTCACAATCGCCAACAGATGCAGTTCGGCAAACGGGCGCTCCACCTTCCAAGCCTCACCTTCCCGGACTCATCCAGCGACTGCCGATCGAACCATGGGTCAAAGACTTCTCGAAGCTCTAGTTCTCAACTAGTGCTACTGCTCGGACATGAGTGTGCCTGAGGAACTGGGCCGGTCCGGCTCCGATGAACTTCGAAGGTTAATACAATAATACAGTCATAATATCATAAGAGACGGTGTTAAGAAGGCCCCCATTCAAGAGGGAAGGACTCTCAGACAGCGGTGCAGTGGAAACTAAGCTCGTTAGGGCATGCCCCGGCGTGTCGAGTTGCTGGGGACAATGGAGGACGTCCACCCTGTCGGCGAGGAATCCCGGCCATAAAAATTCTTTATTCCACCACGCCGCATCCACTCCTTGCTAAAAACGATTCGACAAGTGTCGAGGGGGATGCAATGATGCATCGCAATGGGGACTGGAAGGAGCGGTAAGATTAAAAAAGGAGAAGAAATGGCGACGATGAAGTGGGTCTCTTTCCCCCTTCCCGCCCCCTCCGTGAGAACTTGAGAAGCCACCGATCCTGCAGATCCACTTCCCAACCATTGCCGGACACAAATCTGGTGAGTGACAGATGTCAGAAGTCAAATTCATGGCATAACTGCAGTGGATTTCATAGGTGACTGTTTATTATTTCCCAAATCGCCGCCTTCATAACCCTATTTGGGACAGGCTGCTGGTGGTAGCCTAACACCAAGTGGATTTGCCCGGGGATTCACTTACACATCACATTTGCCATGCTCCGCTCACTACGGAGTACACTACTGCACGACAAAAAAAGAAATGATGAAGAGAATTGAAAGAAGACGGAGGACAGAAGAAAATGGCAAAAGAAGACGAAAATCTCGATTTCGGGGGGGGGCCCCGTTCATCGTAAATAGCAGATCGATCGCCCCCTTCTCGATGGACCACCTCGTAGTCAACTTGCTGTTTAAGTCGGTCTGGTCTGTCTGTCTTTCTTTGCTTTTCCTCCGATTAGACTGTCGATTTGCTGGTACTATTGATTGCAAGCAAGAACCCTAGTTCCCCATCTACACATCCAACCATGGTTCTGCAGGGCAAATCATCCAACGTCCCCCGGCATGTTGATCGGAAAGCCCTCTATACCGATCTTGGGGCACGAGTCCACTACTTGCAGCAGTTTCTAGAGTTCAGTGAGGGTCAGTGCTGTCTGGGTCCAATTGCCACTTGAATGGTCCTCCGTTACTAACGAACATCTTGAATAGATGATGTCGCCGCTCTCAACAAGGGATCCAAGTACATCAAGGCGCTGGCGCCTACCCTGGTCGATAAAGTATATGCGAAGCTCCTCGAGAACGATATCACCGCTCGCGTCTTTCGCACACGCGACACATCCCTGGAAGATGAGGAGGAAACCACCTATCCCACCTTCGATAGCGCCTACATTCAGCGCCGCCGGATGTTCCTGCGCTGGTACATGACCAAGCTCTGCTCGGACCCTACCAAGCCGGAATTCTACGAGTACCTGAACAAAGTCGGGTAGGTGAATCCGTCCCCACGGCTGTCTGGCCCCTCGAAACCCCTGCTAACTCCTATATCAGGCGGATGCACATTGGCAAAGACCGCATGCTCGCCTTCCACGTCGAATATATCCACATCGGCGTGTGTCTCGGGTACATCCAGGATATCATCCTCGAGGCAGTCTTCAGTCACCCACAGCTCACGCTCGCCTTCAAGTTGGCGCTGGTCAAGGCATTGAGCAAGGTGATCTGGATTCAGAATGATCTCTTCGCCCGCTGGCAGGTCCGCGACGGCGAGGAGTTCGCGGAGGACGAGACTGAGTCGGTTCACGAAAACAAGGAGCAGCATCACGATGATTCGGCCTCGTACATCACTCGCTCCAACACCCAGCTCTCCGAGGCCCCGAGTAGTATCTTCTCCGATACCCGGTCAGTTGACACGACCGCCAGCCATTTCACCGCCACAATGCACGCCCCAAGCTCATCGCACTCCTCGCACTCGGCCTGCCCGTTCTCGGGCGGATTCAAGCAGTCCTTCGAAACGAAGGTCTGGTCAGGGCCAGACGGGAAAAGAGGTCACTGACTGGCCTCCGTTGTGGCATTGATGAATTTCCTTTTTGGCTTAGGTATAGGTATATAGGGATAGAGGGATTAGAGGTGTAGGAACATGTGGGATTCTTGGGAGGGTTGTGGGGGTGTCGGGATTTTGGGAAAAGACTTGGGTTTGGTGTTTGGTCCGGTTGATTGCTTCATGGTTGTTTGATTCCGCTGTTTTGATTCCCCTGGCTCTGCAGATTGAACCGTTGTTTTTTGTCTTTTACCTTGAGAGATTAAACGTGACTTGTATTGAGTAGTACTTCATACTTTGTGTCAGGCATTAACCGGGCACGCCTTGCCCCGGCATCGGAATAAAGATATATCATCCTCCGCATTTAAGACTGGACATCCACACCACAACTCTGTCACAGCGATATATCCTTGCATAAACCCGATACACATAACAGAAGGCAACCAGAATTGTGGCATCGGATTGACAGAGAAAGTGTCCAGATCGACTCTATAATGGAAGCAGCACCCGTGGACCGGGCTTTTACTCTACAGACCCGATGAAGGTACATGCCACGCAATTTTTCGACTGACGTGTCCCGACAAAGCTGAGGTAGCTACGGACAACACCAAGCTTGCCGTCAACTTGGAAGGGTAAGACCGAGCAACGCGAAAAACCCTGTGGAGGCGGTCACCAGAAGACCATCCGTCGTATTTGCCTACGAACTATTCCCATCCCACCCCTCTACAATCAAGCAGATTCCACCCGCTTATGGCCAGATATTTGTGCCTCGTTGCAGACAAAGTCGTTTGCCAAAGTAGCCCGTGATAAGATATTGGGGGGGGGGGGGGGTTATGCAAGCGTGGGTGAATCGGGTCGGCAAACGGCCGGTCGGACTTTCCAGAGTGAAGAACCTTCGAAGGCTTTCATCACAAGGCTGCTCGAGGGGATAGGAAGACGGCGCTTTCCGATCAAAAGAGACATGTTACTCCTGCTTCGATCACGTTCGTCTCAAAGCTCCATTTGCAACGAGCGGATCTCGTGGAACATGTTGGAACATGGCGGAGGGTCGGAGGAACTTGAAAGTTGGTGATGAGATTGATCTAGAGCATCCAGACAGGGGGCATAGGAACGAGATGACCTAGAAATTAGCATTCGAAAGTAATAACGCGCTGTCCGCTTGCAAGAGCATCCCAGGGTTGGTGGAGAAGGGAATGAGAGCCCAAAGTGTCATGGCACAAGCCTCCATGTAACTCTGTCAGTTGTGTTCGAGCAAGAAAGTAGAGCTTCTACCTGTTCAGGTGACAAGAAGAGAGATAATGAGCCTGATTATGTCAAGAATGGTGAATGTTTAGTCGTCTCGAGTGTTAGAGAGATTGGTGTTAAGTGGTTGATTGTGGTGGGAAAAAGAGAAATGGCTGTGATCGACTGCCCGACCGTGAAGGTCACGTGTGTGGATGTCTTGTTGCCTTGCTGCCTGCCGCCCGGCCACCCGTTACTGCCCAAGGCCGTTTATGAAGGGCTTAATCAGATTGTATCTAGTCCAGAAGATGGAGGGATTATAGAAGGTAAGGTAAACAATACATTTGATTATATCTCTATCATTACCTACGAAGAGATTATGGCTTTGATTTTTATGTTTAATCTTTTTATCCAACAGCTTACAGATCAGATGTTGAAGTTGAGAAGCAGCTTTGATTTTGAAATATAATTATCTAAATCATCACTAAAAAAACACTGTTCCAATCTGCATGATCTATACAAATAGCTATCTAGTTATATTATTCTACTGTAACATTTATCTGTTTTTCTTTCTTCTTCTCTGACCCATACTTTATAAGCTCTGCCCAATGCTGGAGCTCTAATGAGTTCCCTCTTCAGAGAATGAACAAAGAGACAATTACAAAAGTAAATCATCAGTAGCCAAAGATATTGGCTAGCTGGCTGAACAAACGCTGTCCTGCAGTATTAGCTAGCGAAATTATATCCGCCGGCTGACTTTAAACGCAGTTTACAATAATAATAATCTATACCTAGTCAAAGAAAACATATTCATTACCTAAATATAGTTTCCACCCATGTTCAGTTCCCACGATTTGCGAGAAGCTACGGATGAAGATGAATGCACGGGAACAAATGAGGGTGGCGATGTGGTTCGTTCTTGCAGTGGTGTCTGCTGAATTCTTCGTTGTGGTTCTCTGGTGATCAAGCCCAAAATCATTTATTCCTCGGCTGATTTATGTTTCTATCCAAGCTATGCTGCAAGGTTCTTGTGGCTCCGTCTTCTCCTTCTGCTGAGCAAATAACATTGAGAAAATCCAGGAGTGGCTCCCGCCCTTTTAAACATTGATCCTCCCCACATGCAGCCCTCCCGTGATGGCAATGTCACTGGCAGTGGTATAGGCGGACGCATCACTGAGGAGGTAGACGACTGCGCCGGTCAGATCATTGAAATTGCCAATGCGCCCCAGCGGCGGTCCTTCGTCATAAATGCGGGAATCCTCCCGGCTTTTCTGGGTGCGAACTGCGCGCAACTGCTCCGAATCAATCAAGCCCGGGGAGATGGAGTTCACTCGGATGCCATGCGGCGCCATCTCTACCCCAAGGGCCTCGGTGAGCATGCGCACGGCTCCCTTGGAAGCATTGTATCCGGCCATTCGGTGCTTGGGGAGCACGGTGTGGGCGGTGATCGAGGCGACATGTACAATGCTGCCCGGTGTGCCCTGTTTGAGCAATTGCTTGGCAACTAACTGGGTGGTGAAAAAGGTGCCGAGAACCTGAGGGATGACTTTAGAGAGATGGAGACCAGTCGGAGGCAAGCCTGAACACAGACGAGACACACATACGTTGATTTCTTGGATTCTCGATACCTCCTTCCACGTCTGTTCAATGAAAGGTTTTTCGAGAGCGATTCCAGCACTAGTAAAGGCCCCGTCAATGGTCCCGAGGATTTCCACGGCCGTGTTGAAGCCTGCGACGAGACTATCTTCACTGGAAACATCGGTCGGGATGTAGGCTGTCTGGACGCCAAAGCGAGCCTGAAGAGTCTCAAACTCATCATCCGGGGTGTCTCGTATGTCGAGGACAGCTACACTTCCCCCATGTTCTGCGATTGCACGAACCACCGCGAAGCCAATGCCTTGCGCACCGCCCGTGACGATGTACTTGCGACCTTGAAGCTCAAAAAGCGGACGAATATCACGGAGAGGAACGGCTGCCATGGCGGATTTGGGAACACCGCCTGTCTCTAGTCCTGTGCCCCAGACCTGAACTTTTACATATGTCCATTTCTATTTACCTTACATATAGAGTACATATCGGAATAGCCTCCGGTCCGGGCGGGGGTGATCGGATTTTGCGGAAAGGGGGCCGGAATTGCTGCGAAACAAGCAACGGAGCGGGGCTACTGCCGTTGAAACCCTCAGACAACGTGTACAGTGGACGAACAGTAACACAAAAACCACCACATCACGTCTACCAATGCCTATGGAGTAGACGTACCGCTGGTAGGCTATGTACACCAGATGCCACAGAGCCTGCCATAGCGCTCATGAGTCTCTCCGCAACCCATTCCACCGTGGAGATGTCTCCAGCGTGATCCCGAAATTGTCCAACATTCTCATCACACTCTGATCCACAAGATCATCCAACCCCTGGGGCTTCGTATAAAAGGCAGGCACGGGAGGGAAGATCACGGCGCCCGCTCGTCGTAAGGCCAGCATGTTTTCTAGGTGGATCTCGCTCAACGGGGTTTCGCGTACCACCAGCATCAGTTTCCGGCCTTCCTTTAAACTGACGTCCGCGGCGCGAGCGATCAGATCCTCGCAATAGCCCATCCGCACGGCTGCTAAGGTCTTCACACTGCAGGGTACAACGATCATGCCATCGTGCAGAAAGGAACCGCTGGAGATCGGGGCGGCCAGATCCCGGGCGGAGTAGTTGTAGGTCGCGAGGGAGCGGAGATGCGCGTCGGGGACCTCGGTTTCGTACTTCATTGTGACGGATGCCCACTTGCTCAGGATGAGGTGCGTCTCGACTCCTAGTTGCTTGAGTTGTTCGAGGAGACGGATGGCGAAGACTGTGCCCGTTGCGCCGGTGATTCCGACCACAATGCGTTTAGGCTTAGAGGCCACGGATGGAGAATGCATAGCCCTTGCATGTTGTTTCCATGTAGGAATTGCTAACCGTCCAAGAAGTGGGCTGGACCAGGGACGGCAGAAGGCTCGCGACCGAGACATGGCCTGAAAGGGGAGGTGTAGCATGGTGAGCAGTCAGAATTGCCTCGCAGGGGAACTCAAAACCTGCCATCACCACTATATACGTGCACAGGACATGTATGGTCACTTAGGGGGCCGGAGTGCACAATAGGACAGGTGGTTTGGTGAAGGCCGGTCAAAGGCCGTTCACATTCCATCGGAAACCTTCCGATGAGTGGATACACCAGCATACTGGGAAATCACTGTAAGGTAGAAAGATATACCCGTGTAGTGTACCAGTCGGGTGACAAGTGCGCATATCCTCATCTAAAGCAATGCTCGCAGGACTCCAACACGATGTTTAGAATCTCAGCTACTCATGGCCGATGGACGTCCGCACATGGAAGCCAGCGCCACTATGTTCACCAGGCCACACCCCAAGGCACTGCCCCGGATTTCCGCTCGTTTCTCAACACACTACGCGCGGACGGCGATCTGGTGGATATTTACCAAGAAGTCGATCCTCATCTCGAGGTCGGGGCAATTGCTCGACGCGTGAGCGAGCGAAACGCCCAGGTGCCGTTATTCCACCAGGTCAAAGGCGCCCGCGATGGACTGTGGAGGATGACTTCGAATCTCCAGAGTCTATGTCAGTCCCCGACAGAGAGACTGGGACGCATCGCCCGAGGTATAGGGCTACCGCCGAGTGCGAGTTGGCGCGAGATCAACACCAAGCTCCTCCAAGCGAAGCGATCCTGCCCTTCAGTCGCCTCGTCTCCCGTGCTCTCGACCGGTCCATGCAAGGAAAACAAAATCTTTGGGGACCAGATCAATATGATGCAACTTCCTGCCCCTCTCCTGCACCAGGGGGACGGCGGGAGGTATGTACAGACCTATGGAATGCATATCCTTCAGTCCCCCGACGGTTCCTGGATCAACTGGTCCATCGCGCGCGCCATGATTAATGACCGGAACAAGCTGGTCGGCCTCTGCATTCCTCCGCAGCATAATTGGCAGATCAAGGAAATGTGGAGGAAACAAGGACATGCAGAGGTTCCTTGGGCTCTGGCTCTGGGAGTTCCCCCGGCCGCCATCATTGCCGCGGGTTTGCCCATCCCTGATGGCGTCTCAGAGTTGGATTATGTCAATGCCATCACCGGCTCCCCAATGGGTCTCGTGCGCTGTGAGACCAACGACCTTCTGGTCCCAGCAAGCTGTGAAATTGTCTTCGAAGGAACATTGTCTAACACCGAAACGGCCCTGGAGGGCCCCTTTGGCGAATACTTTGGCCATGGCTTCGAAGGCGAGAGCAGACAGATGCCAATATACCATGTAAACGCCATTACCCACCGGGGGAATGCCATTCTGCCTATATCGGTGCCTGGGGTCATAACGGACGAATCGGTGAGTCGGTTGCCTGCATGCGTCCGCAAAGGAGTAGCCTTCCTGACTGACGGCTCTCAGCACACTCTAGCTGCCTTGATGGTGCCAGAGATTCTAGATATCTGCCTGGAACACGGGCTCCCAATTTCCGATGCATTTGCACCGCTGGAGACCAACGCGACCTGGGTGTTCCTCCAAGTGAACTCGGAGCGACTCAGGTCCATGGGTACCAACGCACAGCAGCTATGCAGGTCTATCGGGCAGACAGTGTTCCAGGATAAACGCGCGTGGCTGGCCTCGCGACTGTTCCTGGTGGGAGATGACATTGACATCTACGATTTCCAGCAGACGATGTGGGCAGTGGCTTGTCGCTCACGCCCCGGTCAGGACGATTACGGGTTCGACGATGTGCCTGGCTTGCCCCTCGTGCCCTCGATGCGTGGTAGTCCACGCCCTTGTCGCGGGGGCAAAACCGTGACCAATTGTCTTCTCGAGTCGGAGTTCACGGCCGGTGGTCGTGATTGGCACAAGGTTGACTTTCAGCATGCTTATCCCAAGGATGTGCAGGAGCGCGTGTTGTCACGCTGGGGGGCAATGGGGCTGAAATAGCCACCCCGTTCGGGCACTCGACCGCCAACGTCGAGGTTCAGATTAGGGCTTTATATTTATCAGATTGCAAGCTAGTGTTTACCAGTCCGTCCAGAGTTCGAGTGTAATCTGTAACTACAGCCGCGAAACCAGCTCGGCAGCCTGCCAGGACTTGCTTAACCGGACCTCCAACACTGCCAGAACGCCCTTCTTCACGCTTTCCACTGCCTGGGGCAAGAGCTGTTCGAACTGCTCTGCATTGCCCGCAACCCCGGCCCAAGCATGGTGGCCTGCTGCGGCTTTGGCGATGCCGGCATAATCCGGGGTGGGACTGAACGAGATATTGAGATCCAGATTGTTCACCTGCGATCCTAACCCGGCGGGATGTACCAGCTCTAGTGAGTTGCGAGGAGCGTTCCATCCTAGTAGATAGTTGACCCCGTCATGTTAGCCACTCGAGCGACGATGGACGGGACAACCGTTTTAGTTACTTACCGTTGTTACTGAGAACTATGGTGAGAGTCGCCAGGTTGTACCGTCGAGCAATCCAGTAGACTGTCCCCGGAGCACCAAACATATACGTCCCATCCCCTACAATTTCGCACACAAACTTGCCTTTGCCATTCCCACCCAGCAAGTGATCGGACGCCAGCTTAACGCCCAGGGTAGCGCCCCCCGACCAGCCGAGTCCGCCAGCGCCGCAGTTGACCAGATGGCCCGGGGCATCCACCTGCAGCTGATTGGTGATGGGCATCGCATTGGTGACGGTCTCGAGGCACCAGATGGTATCCTGCGGTAATGTCTCGCGCAGACGGCGGCCGAGATAGTGGCTGTCGATTAGAGCTAGCGGATTCTCGAGGTCTGCAGCTGCGAGTGCGAGGGCGGCCAGCCGCTCATGGTGCGCGTTCTTGGTAGCTGCACCACGGTTGAGATACTCGGCTGATGCGAGGATAGGGGTAAAGCCCTCGTTGCTCGCGATGTACGACTGCAGTTGGCGGAAGGCGGTGGTTGCATCTGCCCGGTAGGTCTTCGAAGCATTGATGTACCACAGGTTGAGGTTGTTCTTCAGGGGGTCGATGTCGATGTGCACAATCTTGGCGTGCTGAGAGGGACGACAGAGAACGGGAATCCAGGGGACCGCCGCGTGAACGACTAGGATAAAGTCGGCCGTGGGAATGGCTTCGTGGGCTCCGATTCCCAATCCCAAGGATGCCGGATGGGTGAAGGGGAAGCTCACATCACTCCCCAGACAGTCCAAGACGCGCAACCCCGGCACCATGTCAACGAGGTCAACCAGCGCAGGCAATGCCTGATGATCTCTGCCCGAGTGCCCAACAATAATGAGAGGACGCTGAGCGTGAACCAGGAGGGTGGCAATCATCTCCACCCCGTTCTCTGGCAGCGCGGTGGGCGAAACGGCTCCCCAATGAGCCCGCTCAATCGTGTAGGGCTCAATCTTGGCTTCCAGCACCTCTCGCCCTGCCGTCAGATACACCGGTCCAGGCGGGTCGCTCGTCGCGAACTGCATCGCCCGACTTACCATCTGCTTGATATTCTTTCCCGTGCGGATCTCCCCGGTATACCGACAGTATTGCGAGACAATCTGGCGTTGCTCCTTAGCATCCTGCAACCAATGCACATACTCCGTTCGAGACCCGGACAGTTCGCCATCGATGGTGAAGGGCGAAAGGCCTGCGAAGATAAGAACCGGACAGTAGGCGGCAGAGGCATTGTGAACTGCACAGCCCAGAGCTTGAGTTCCAACATCAACATGCACGATGACCGCTTGGGGCTTGCCGGTTAGTCGAGCAAATCCATCGGCCATCGATAAAGCCACCATCTGGCCAATACAGTCAGTGGGATCTCACACGTACTTGGACAACTACGGCAGTCGTACTTCGTGTGGGCAGGTTATAATCTCAGGGAATCGACCTTTCCTGAACTTCTTCCCGTAGACGATCGCCTCCATGATGGCCGGGTGATCCGACCCCAGATTCACGAACACATATGAGACTCCGCCCTGTGACTCGGAGAAAGGTAGTTAGTAGGACACCTAGTACTCTTTTTCTTTTTCCCGGATTTAGCAAGATAGACCCTACCTCCCACAGAGCCTCGAGGAAAGCGGTAGCAGCAGTGTAGCTCCTGACCCCGCTCGGTTAGCCAGCTATCACTTATCGTTCGGTACAACGCCTTCGGCGATTGGGACAAACACTCACATTTTCAATCGAAGAACCGTAGGAACAGGGAATCTGTGACACTGTACTCCTTGAATCATCATATCTCATTCAGTTTTATATCTAATGCAGTGCTACATTGGCAAGCTACATCGTCCCCATCGGAAGAGATGCGGTGGCGCGTCAGTTCCGAACAGCGTCCGTCCCGCATCGGAAGCTGCATTCCGATCATCTATTACTTGGCTCTCGGCAATTGAACTGTAGAGATTGATATGATGATGACTGATGATTCTGAACAGAGAGAAGGAAGAGAGGGTGCAAAGCTACAGTCCGCCTGGGACAACCTTCCCATGCTTACAGCGCAACGCGCCACCTGGCTGCCGAGACGGTGATATCTTGATACAGAAAAAGAGCCAAAAGGAGGTGGACTAAGAAATCTGTGCCATCACATTTTCGCTCTCGCACCTTCAGCTGCGAGCTCTTCTGGAAGGCCATTTTTTGGTGGCAACAGGCGATCCAAATCGGCGGTGTTGATGTATCTAGGGCTGGCGTCTCGCAGGTTGGTCAATCCTACCAGCTGCATCGCCGTCTCGACTTCCTGTTTGAGGACTAAGAATGCATCATGACTGTTAGTACTGTCGACCAGTTCTTATTCTAGGTTTATCTACCTTCGATGGCATGAAGCACTCCCGGCTCCCCGTAGGTCAAGGCGTAGATGAACGGTCGACCCAGACCGACGGCCGAGGCTCCCAAACAAACGGCTTTAACGACATCAGACCCTCGTCGGAACCCTCCGTCTACCAGAACGACCATTTTCTCGAACGCCTCCAGGCAGTCACGGCGGATCTCAAGAAGGGTCAAGATGGATGGGGGCGCCGTGTCGGCGGCGCGGCCACCATGGTTACTGACCACAATGCCGTCGAGACCGTAACGCAGGGCAAGATGCGCATCTTCTGCCCGCTGAATTCCTTTTATCAGCAGCGGCAGTCCGGTAATGCTCCGAAGCCAGGGGATATCCTGCCAGTTGAGAGTAGGATCAATGAACGAGCTATTCGACTTGGCTAAGCCCGCATACACATTCATGGGTGGGGCCCCCAGCGGCTGCTGCTGGTTGATACTCACTACCAGGCCCCTGCCTCCCTCGGGCTTGAGCCGCTCATCGGCCTCTCGCTTGGACATCACGGGGAGATCGGCGGTGATCAGAAACCCCTTGACCTTCCCGGATGCCGTGGCCTGCCGTATCTGTGCTTCCGTTTTGCTCCGATCTCTGTTGATGTATACCTGCAGCCATGCCTGCTCCGGGGTCGCATCAAGGATCTCGGCGAGGGAATGGGAGGCGGTGGTAGCGATGCATTGCACAATTCCGGCCTTATACGCTGCCCGTGCCAATGGAAGTTCACCCTCTCTACAGACACTCTTGGCCGCACCCACCGGCGCGATGTATACGGGCACCTTGAATTGACAGCCCAGCAACGTCCGGCGCGTGGTCACTGTCGAGATGTCGCGCATGATCGCCGGTCGCAGCCAGATCCGCTGCAGCATCGTCTGGTTGGCATCTCGCGTGAGATTGTCGTTGGCCGCACCGCTGTTGAACGCCCATGACTTGGGGCTTAGCTGGTCTCGGGCGACCTTTTCGAAGTCCTTGAGACTGAGAGCGTCGCTGAGAGGGGGCTTGCGAGGAGCCTGGGGCGAGCGTGTCGGGGCTGTCTCGGTCGCGACCGAGGTCAGCCAGCTCGGGGGAACGGTAGAGGTGTCCAACTCGCCGATGCAGGAGCCGTGGAGTTCGGTGGCGATCAGCGAGGAGGAATGGGCGTTATTGTACTCCACCGACGCATCTTTGCCGGCATGTTGGTAAATGACTGGGGTTCGGTTGTGTTAGAGGAGACAGGAGGATCAGGATGCTAGGCAGGTAGGGCTTCCTCACTCTGGGCTCCCCCCGGATGTGTCGGGGCAAATTCAGTCACGTCGTAGACTTTCCCATTGACTACAATCCAGATATCTGTCTCCAGACTATGGGTTTCCACTTCTTTTGCAGACACTATTCGGGAGAACATGTTGCAGAATTAACTCGTTTGAAATTCAGCCTGAACACAAATATTCTGGCTTGCCCTGGGTGCAGTGGGCGGCAGAAGCAGTAGTTATCTGTACTCGCTCGTATGATAAGCCCAATTCCGCATCCATCGGAACGGCTAAACCAATAACAGATATCATCAACCCGCTATATTCCTCTTTCCGCATGATTTTTAAAATACGAATTATCTTCTCGATCGTGTGGAAATGGGGGACCCGTAACCCAATAGTAGCTGACAGCGCAGTACAAAATAGGAACATCGACGAGTTCAATTCTCGGATCTACTCAAGGAGATAGGATGGCTACTGGTAGACTCAGATAGGCCGGATTCGGTTCGCAAATGAGGCCGAAGCAGCTTGTTTAACTCCGTCCAGATCGTGCCATCAAGGAGCTGATCCAGCGGTGGATCATTGTCCGAAGCCAGTGGCGCCCAATCGAACAACAGGTCCGCTTGATCTGACCCCCCATGATCAGCTCCCCGTGGCGATGGCAAGGTCCAATCGCTCAGGTCTCCTCCAGTGGGGTCCGCGAAGTTCGGAACCATGGAGCTCTCCGAGGTTTGCAGACTACTAGGGTTGACGGGCCCCTCAGTCGGCGCGGCAAAAATGCCGTCTATAGAGATGAATTGAAGACGAACCAAGATCCCGAGAATGTGCCGCAGACGGCAGTGGAGCTGAGCGCATGCTGGAGATAGTCCAGAGCAGGCGTCGGTTAGCTTCAGCACATTTTTGAGAGGGACGCAAACGTCGCGCGTGATGGAGCTTGACAGCCCGGTCTTGGACGTATTGTCAAGGGGGCCGCTGTAGGTGTAGATGATGCTGAGTAAGATCAAGGCTGCAGCGGAGGCGACGAATTGACTGAAAAGAGCGTGCAGCCGGCGATACAAATCGGTTTGTGCATCGAGCTGCTTCAGGATGGTGATAGTCTCTACAGCAGTGTCGATTGCCTGCGAGATGTGCGCCTGAGTGGGCTTGACGGGGCTGTTTTGGAAGAACAATGGTCGAAGCATGAGGATTCGGAGCTGATTGGCACGCAGACTCAGTATCGTTTGGATGAAATCGGAGGCTTTGTCAGAGTTTGAAGAGACTGAAGGGACTGGGGAGGAAAGAGACTGGAGTTTAGCGATTGCAGACTGTTGCCACCGGTCGATCTGATAATTAATAAATTGAAATTGTTCCTCCTCGTACAGGTCCGGATTCACAGGTAGACCCGCAGTTGCATTCACGATCTTCGAACTGATGACACAGTAGGACATCATCGCATTCAGATATTGCGTCTTGACCTATGCAGTAATAGTCAGAGTATCAGCACACTAACTTGAATTCTTCCCATGACAGGCTGGTGGGCATAACGTACGAGGTGTAGCTGTGCAGGGACCAATGACCCGTCGTCCATGTGACGGGGAAGCCCTAGAGCCGTGCTCCATTCATGGTCCAGCACAAAAATACTCCACATCAATGTTGTCGCCTTTACTTGCTCTCCCTCGTCACCAAAGGCTTTCTGTAGTGTCATCGGTCGGTGTAGGCCGAGCTCTAAAGCTAAGGAGGCGGCAACACCTCCAAGTCTCCACGCCATTCGTAGACTTCCAGAGAATAGGTGATAAACTGCCTGTTAATCAGTTTTAGTAAAGTCCAAATGTCCAACGACGGAGTGCAGGGAGGACCGACACCAAGCAGGACAAGGATCACGCCCCTCAGACTAATATGCTCAGAAACCAGAATGTGGTTTAGCTCATTTTCAACGCCCTCAAAGCAGCTTGCAATCAAATCGGTCCGCTGGATTTCTTCCATGCGCAATGCAATGGACAAAATGAGGCGGATCACGATCACGTCGTAAAGAGCTGGCTGATTTCTCAGCGACTGGCGAGTATCTGTCAGGCGAGCATAAAGCGCGTCCAGACGTGAGAGAATCACAGATATATCCACCACCGGATGAAGCAGCCCCACGGTGTTGGAATACGACACCACCAGTCTCCTAGCCTCAGTATGAGGGATCTCAAGGAAGACCCGAACTGACGTGTGCTCGGGTTGGATGTGGGCCTTGGATAAGGCAGCAGGACCATCGGTTCCACCCTCTCGTATGAGCCTCGTCCTTCCTTGTCGTTCGTCTTCTCGGTTGTAGAAGGCATCAAGGTGAGAGGCAGGCACTGCAGTAGGGTCCTGCAAATGAGCCAGCTTCAGACTGGCAAGCTCAAAGCTATAATCAGGGGATGTCAAGCCTTGATAACGAGGCGCCACTGTGGAAGGAGGAGAAACGACCATAGTGGTGACGAATCGGCGGCGCTTGGAGCCTGGCTCCAAGCACTCCTCGGAGGCCGGGGTGTCCGGAGTACGCTGCTTGCCCCTTGCTGCTGAGGCTCCGTGGTCTATTGATCCCTTCAAGGACTGAACTTCAGCCTGCAGGGACTCGACTACCTCACTCAAGCGATGGACCTGGCTGGAATCGAGGAGCCCGCTGTTAGTGCTCGTCTAGACTCCCACACGATCTGCCTATCTTTCTCTTCCTCTGGGCTTGAAAATACCTGCTCACAGTACCCTGATAGTCCGGGGGGAAGTGACGAGCTACCGGCTCTAAGTCATATTGGCAGGTGACTCCGCGACTCTCACAGTGTTTGCACGGATCATCTCCACTACAGCGCTGTTTTCGTCGTTTACAAGTCAAGCAGGCGCGCTGGATATAAGGAGCACGCTTGTTGCGGCCGACTCTTTCCTGGTCCGCTCGGGCTGGACGAGTCTGTGACATTATGTGCGAGGTGATGGAAGGTTGCTGTGGGCAAAGGGACCGGAAGCGAGAGACCTGTTGCTTAAGGGGGGAGAAACAAAGGACAGGTTGTTATCGCAGATTTGGCCGTATGGGGGACGGTCAGTGCACCCCCGCATTTTGATGATAGGTACTGTACGTACAGTACTGGTAATGCTGCCAGCTTTACAGAACTGTAATCTATCTCACATGCCCCACTAAGCTACCATCTTGCCACGCAATGCTTGTCTTCAGTCGCCTCCCGGCTGGTGGAGTCAATGCAGTAATTCATTGACAAGAAAAGACCCAGCCCTTGACTTATCAATGGCTAATAGAGAATCAAGAAGTAATCTTAGACTATTTCTCAAGCCAGGATGCTAAACAATACGTTAGGCCTTAATGGAGATGGTGGTTTGGACTGAATATCACCCTTTGGCAAGCTAACCTGCCACGAATCCGACGAATCCGCCGATTCCGACAATTCCGACAATTCCGACTCATGATACATCCATCACTTACTCGCAGAGGATCGCCATCCCCCCTCCTCCAAAACCAGACGAGACGCTCTTATCAGCGCCAAACCGAGCAACTATTGCCAGGTCAGCCCATAGCCTATCCTCGGCAATGTCATTCTCTCCGAAGCTGGCAGGTTTATCCCCCTCCAGAGTCCCACGACAGGTCCCTCTCTGGATCAATGGGACCACTCGCACCACCGCAAAGGCCTTTCCTGTTCGCAGCACCCTTACCGAGAAAACCATCTACCAGTGCTCAAATGCATCAGTGGCGGATGCAGACGATGCTCTGGCCAGCGCTGTCATGGCATTCCCCTTGTGGGCGCAAACAAAACCCGCTGCTCGGCGGGACGTGTTTCTGACAGCGGCTGACCTGGTAGACAAACGACGAGAGAGATTGGAGAATACTCTCCGTGAGGAGCTAGGCACCAGCGCTGAATTTGCGCGCATGAACACAGCCACAGCTGCTGAAATGCTCCGTGATGCGGGCGGGCGGTTGGCCCACACGCTCACGGGGCAGATTCCACACCCCCAAAAGGCAGGGCAAAGTGCGCTGCTGTATCGCGCTCCGTATGGGGTGGTTCTGGGGATTGCACCCTGGAATGCACCCTACCTGCTCGGGGTGCGCGCTTGTCTCTACCCGATCGCAGCCGGCAATACGTGTCTGTTAAAGGGATCCGAATTGAGTCCCGGGTGTTTTCACCACATCGGCGAAATCTTTCACGATGCCGGCCTCCCCGCCGGGGTGCTCAACCTCTTGTATACCACTCGAGCGGACTCAGCTGTAGTGACGAACCACCTGATCCGTGCCCATCCTGTACGCAAAGTCAATTTCACCGGCAGTTCGGCCGTTGGGGCGCTCGTCGCGGCTGAGGCAGCGAAGTCATTGAAGCCTGCATTGATGGAGCTGGGGGGCAAGACCTCCGCTATTATTCTTGAGGATGCCGATATACGACTTGCCGCGCGCGAATGTATCAAGGGGGCCTTCATCAACTCAGGCCAGGCCTGCATGAGCACTGAGCGGATTCTTGTTGCTCGCAAGATCCTGGGGCCGTTTCGTCGGGCGCTGCTGGAAGAAGTCGCGCGTTGGAAGTCCGCCGCTGACACGCCGTGTATCTTGATCCAGCAAGCGGCAGTAGCCAGGAATCAAAGACTAGCCCAAGACGCGGTGTCCAAAGGAGCCAGTCTTCTGAGTGGTGGTCCGGATTCGAGCGAGAAGTTTCAACTACGCCTGCAACCCATGGTGCTGGAAGGCGTGGACAAGCGCATGGATATCTATTATGAAGAGAGCTTCGGTCCGTTGGTATCACTTTACACCGTGGACACTGAGGAGGAGGCGGTGGTTTTGGCCAATGATACCGAGTATGGCCTAAGCTGCTCGCTTTTTACCGCAGATCTTGCGAAGGGACTGAGGCTGGCACGTCGTATCGATAGCGGGTGAGTCTGTCTCGTCACTTTCGCTTCTCTCAAACCTATTTACTATTGATTAACCCGATGCAAACAGCGCCATCCATATCAATTCGATGAGCGTTCATGATGAGGCTGCCTTGCCACACGGAGGCCAAAAAAGTAGCGGCTGGGGCCGATTCAATGGGGAATGGGGGCTTCACGAATTTCTGCAGTCCAAGACAGTAACCTATCTAGACTAATAAACCCCTGTCCACTTTGAAGCATGTACTTTGAAGGTGCATATTTATGCAATTCATCGATCGTACCTTCCATAGACACCAATTTGACCTAGCTATGTTCTAACGAGAGAGTAGGGAATCGAGTCGCTCCAGCTGATGACACGGTGCCAGCAGGCAGGGATGTGATACCGCTGCAGCCAGCATAGAACAAGGGACTGACTAGTATCTTCCTGGTTGAGGGAGAACAGGTGGTTCTCGTCGGTCCAGCGCAGAACCGAAACGGAGGAGTAATTCGAAGATCCACCGCAACCATAGGTGCGTCCTCCAACGCAATAGGGTGAGAAGGAAATAATAGGTATTCTGTCTCCAATTGAGCTAAACTAAGAAACGCTTGCAAGACTAAAGAGCCTTAAAGGATATGAGTAAGTCAATGACAAACTAAGTTAGTCTTCACTGGCGAAATGTCATTTTGGCGAGGTGACCAATGTCCCTGCTTCCACTCCTCCACTACGTCTTGATAATCCCACGGCTTGTAGGGCTCAGTAAGTTCGGAAGTGGCCGACGATTTCCGATGGTGCTTCAATCCCAGGTCCTTCAGCAACAGATCGAAGTATGGGAGCGCGTCGAAGGCGAAATCGGCAACATCCTCTCCGTAGCCACAGGGATACCGCCATTTACCCCAGACGGAGTTGATCACTGCCTCGTGGACGACGGCGTGCTGGGTGGGGGGCATGCGGTCCAGTGCCCCGTCGAAGTAAGCGGAAATCCACAGTCCTTGCAGGCTTGCACAAATGGCTGTACTGGCCGAGGATATCATACCGGCAAAGGCCAGAGTGCGCCTTTCCCACAGGGCTGGGGGCACCATGAATCGGTAGAGTCGCCAAGGATTGGATTTCTGGCGTTTCGCGGCGCCCGATGTCCGAAGGCAAGGCTGCGACTTGAGACCTGGAAAGCGAGAGAGGATTTCATCATCGGCGAGGCAGAGGAGACGATCCATTTCGGTGGGATCGGAGACAGGCCGGCAATCGAGATCCACAAATTCTATAGCGGAGCCCTTTTTCCAGCCAGTAGCACAAACTATTGCATCTGCTTGGAGCGTCTCCCCAGTGCTCAGGTGTACATGGCGGGGCCCCAGCTCGGTAATATTCGCCGTATGGATGCAGATTTTGCCCTCCTTGACCAGATCAAAGATGCTGGTATCGAAATTGTGGATGGAGACACCCGAGCCTGTCCAATAAGCCGAGTACCACGGTTTCAGTGCGAGTAGCGAGGGGTGATGATGATCCTCATACCCGTTCGATTCAACAATATCCGCAGAAAGTATGGACCAGAAGTTGTTCACGAGAAGGTTCCCCAACTTGGTACCGTGCAGAAACGAGCGCACGGTCGAGTAGCCATCCTCATCTTGCCAAGGACTCGGAGAGAACCACGACAGGCAGCGCGTATGAAGTAGTTCCTCCATCTTTCTTTTGAAGGGGGTCACGAACGGCTTTGCCAGCCAGACAGGTCCATTTCCATCGGGCCGAATGATGAGGTCGACCTGCACACCAGCCTGCGTATATGCATAGCTCACGTCCAAGGCCGATTTAGCGCCCCCGACCACGACGACTCTTTTGCAGCTTGTCAATGTGCCTGCCTCGCGTTTGAAATCCTTAGCGTGGAAGACAGGACCGCGGAAGGTATCCTGGCCAGGGTATGAGGGCATATTAGGTAAAGAGGTGAGGCCGGTGGCCAGAATCAGTCGTTTAGTTTCGATTTCCGTCGTGGAGTTGGATGGGTCGTTCGAGCAGGCAACGTGAAGTCTCCACCCATCACCTTCTGACTGTGGCTGCACTGCTGTTACCCGTGTGTGGAATTGAACTCGATCAAAGACTCCAAAATGTTTGGCGTAGTCGGTCAGATAACGATGTAAAGTGGCAGCGGGGATGTGGCTGTCGGCCTTGACCCCATAGACGTCTTCCGACATGGGAAAGTCGGGGTATTCATAAGAGCCCACCATGTTATTCGACTTGAGTCCAGGGTAGAGTCTTTCCTGTCCCCATGTACCTCCACACGAGCCAGCTGATTCGAGGACTACAATGTGGTCCTGAGGGTGCAGCTGAATGTAGTGCTTCGCAGCAGACAAACCAAACCATCCTAAACAATACAACCAGGAGTTAGCAAACTAGGAACTTGGTCCCCCATCATGGGTGGAGATGGTGATTTAGAAAAGCCTACCTGCCCCAACGACAATGAGGTCAATATCTGGAGTTGTTCTAGTCATCTTGTTGGAGGTCGACGATGTGAGCTCCGAATAGTACGGTGCTCTCTGTAAGACATTTCCCCTAAATACCTGGATCGGACAATGCGACTCCCATGTTGCCGCGCACGAGTTGGTGGATAGGACTTCGAAAGGAAAGGCGGGAGAGGGGAAGGGTTCCGCAGATTCCGATGAATTGTTCAATGAATGAATATCCTGATGATCAGGGCGACGAATTGCAATGTCTCAGGTTTTCCGCATTCCGATTCACTATCCACCCTCTCACCCACATTGTCAATTCCGATAGTCTAGCCTGTCAGCAATGACAGCACTGTGGCCACTCAACATAGCTCAGCTTGAGACAAAACCCTTGTTCCGTGCTCCGCCTGAACCCTCAGTAACTTCCCAACTACTCCCTGCCTCGCCAAGCTACGTTACGATCATGTCTCAGCAGCAACCCAGATACACCACGACACCTGACTATGGCAGTGAGAAAGTCCTTTTCCGTGATTCACCGGCGTACGAACGATGCCGGTGCATGAACCCAACCGCCGAGACCCCAGATCGCTATCCTCGCGAGATCCATTTGGTGGAAACCGCCGCCGATGTGGCTGCGGGTCTCAAGCGGGCCTCTGAGCTCAAAACAACCGTGGGGATTCGATCATCGGGTCATATCATGAACCTAGGCAACCTCATCCAAGACGGAATCCTGATTGATACCGTCAACCTCAACCGCCACGTTGACTACAACCCTGTGACCCGTGAGATCTGCTTTGGACCATCTTCGCGCGTGGAGGAACTGGCCGCGGCATTGGGATCGGTTCAACGGTTTTTTCCGCACGGACATGCACCAACTGTCGGCTCAGGCGGTTTCATGCTCGCTGGGGGCCAAGGATGGTTTGTCCGCGGCTGGGGGGCAACCAGCCAGACCTGGATCGAGCGTTTTGAGGTTGTCGTCCCCGATGGGCGTGTGCTCATCGCCAGTCGTACTGAGAATCAAGACCTCTTCTGGGCAGCCCGTGGCTCAGGCTTGGGGTTCTTTGGCGTTATCACGCGCTTCTGGGGACGAACCATCCGTGCCTCCAAGATGTGGGAGCGCACCTTCAAGTTTGAGATTGATGATAATAGCTATGAGCCCCTAATGACCTGGACCATCGAGCGAGGTCGCCATACTCCCAAGTACGGAACCGATCTCAATATCACGATTGACTACCCGGAAAAGTACGATCCCCAATACGATTCCGACGAGATCCCGGCCGGCGCGAAATTGCATCTCAACCTCAATCTTTTATGCTATACTGACACCATTCTCGAAGCCCGGACGCTGATGAGTGCGTGGGATGCGATCCCCGACGCTGTCCGGGAACATCTGCTGGAAATGAAGCCTGTTCAGCGGAGAACCTTCGAGGAGGTCTTCGCCCGCAAACGCGGCTTCTTGGGAAACCATCGCCAAGACAAATGGCAGATCAACTCCATCATGAATGAACCAAGCTGTCCGGTAGGAAAGGTACGTGAAGACCCAGGGGTCCTCATTCAGCCGTACCCAGCTGACGGCTGTCCCTCCAGTTACTCGAGGCGATCAAGCCGGCCATGCTTGAGCTACCCACCCGGACCTCGAGTGTCTTCGCCTGTTTCTGTGACATTGTCCCAGATGAAAAAGATGCGGCCTTGAGCCTGCCGCAAGATTTGTATATCTCAACGATCACTGGCTCGGTCGAATCGCAATCAAAACCCGCCCTCTGGGATCACATGAGGGACCGCTACCAGCGAGCCTTCCACGTCGCTGTAGGACAGTATATCACCGAGATTGATATGAACAACGAGACTGCCAACGTACGTCTTTGTCTGGCTTTAGCCTGCATAGCTACAGAGACTAACCATCGCACACAGACTCGGGTTCTGAGTGATACCGCGCTCGCAAGATTCCTTAAGATCCGCGAGAAGTACGACCCACAAGGGCTTTTTCCGAACTACAAGGCCATCGTTAGAACTCACGCAAAGATGGATAAGCTAGACAGCCTTGCGAAGCTTTGAAGGGCTGGATTAGTCTTCTGTTATCCATCGTCCATTTGTTTCCTCTGATGTTGCAGAGTCGATGATCCGCTAAGAAGCGTATCGGGTTTGAAGTCAGGCTGATTTGGTGCTTGGCCATTCATCCCCGACATACCAGACACTAGGTCATAGTGAGCTTCCCTCCAGTGCCAATGAAGAAGAAGTCGGCCCCGATGTGCTATGCAGACAAGCATTGTAACGTAGCCCACTTCATTAGTATGCGGAATAGTGCAATCTATGAAAGCAACGCGCCTTGTGCATCTCGCTATCTTGCCCATCCATTAGAGACTAGACCAGGTCATTTTTAAGAATCCTGGCATCGTAATCTACTGACATTGCAGGTTGATAACTGGGCGTATGATTCCCGTATGGGGCGCTGCTCTTTAAACACAGTGACTCACGGCTCTTCCATGTATTCCCGCACCTTATACTCGAAGAGCTGGTTCGAAGGTACCGCCGTGTGATCTCGCAATTTCTCCGCCGTGGCTATTCCACACACTGGCACGCGGTACTCAACCCTCCGACCATCTGGCAGAGGACATGGGAAGGGCAAATAGTCCGGTATAAGTCCGAGTTGTGCAAGCACGGTACCTTGATCCCATGAAATATGTTCGTGATACAGTCGATCCCCACGGATATTCACTATTGCCGTGAAGGGGATTGCAGCGCGTTTCTGTGTTGGCGGCACTCCGGGCAGACTGCGTCCCGAAGATTAGTGATCGGTATTGGGGTAGACGTAGTGGACCTGGGAATAGAAACGTATTGGGGTAAGAGAGTGGAATTGAACGACTTACAGCCAATCCAGCTCCCGGTCATGGGTAAATTTAAAGATGAACTCGTCGATGACGCGGTCAATGCCGAGGCTTCGGCTGATCAGCTCTGTCTCGGTATCGGCGGAATTGTTGAAGATGAAGTTGTGCCGGTAGAAGTGAGTAAGAGATTCACGACCAATTCCGCCGGTAAGCTAGGGATATCAGTCTCTTTCCAGGTTCAGCCGTAGAGGCTTTCGCAGGAGAGATCAGTGTTCTCACCGTCGGAACATGATTCACGTATGGCTGAGCAACCATAGTACTCATGGTGTGCTCCACACTTCGGTCGGTGAATTCATAGAAAGTGTGCTCGTCCCAGATGGCCTCCAAATCAAAGTATGGGCCTGCCATCAAGGGCTTTAGGAAAGACAGACTGCGAGTATGAGAGATGGACTCCGGGCCATACAGAAAGTCGTCGGCGAAGGGCGTGGCAAACAAGAAGGATTTGGCGGTGGGGTAATAATACTCCCGGGAGGGCTGCCTGGTCTGGCGGCTCTGAGTCTTGGGTCTTGTGCCCGCAAGGTGGCAGAGAATCGGCTGGGCGGCTGGAGTACAGGCACTTGGGAGTTTAGATCCGGCCTCTCCATACATCACGATTGCGACGATGCTCGGGATACCAGGGATGGTGGTGGCCACGGAAGTCCACAATTGAGGGTCGTACACTTTGCCCCCGGGTCAGGAGTCGACCTCCTTGTTTCACGGGAGGGGAGATCGACGTACCGATTAAGCCTATCTTTCCATTGTCACAGTCCTTGCTAGCTACCAAAGCGTCCAAAGCGATGGTAAATGCATCGTGGCCACCGCCAGCCAAAGCTTGTTCTTGGACTTCAACCACCGAATATCCTTCCTCCGCCCATTTGATGAGGGGTGATGGCACTCCATCGATAATGTCCAGCGAGTGATCAGTGTTGGGCACCAGAAGAATCAACCCTGGACCATGTCCTCTCCGCGACAGAGGCAGCAAGAACGAGATCCCTGGGCCGAGCCGAGTGAGGTTAATGCTTGGGAGAGAAGCAAGCGGTTTGCTGATATCCCAATCTTCCATCTTGATGTTGAGGTGTAGCAGGGGTCGTCGAGCAGGTCCTTTAAGATACAAGGACTGGACAGTTTGCAAGACCGATTCCACAACTCGGCCATTCTATTGAATCGATATAGTCGAGCGGGGAGGGCCGGTGCTGGCCCTGACGGAAAAGCGGCGTCGGAATGTTCCGATGGGGATGTGGTTTTTGTTTTGGCATGACGGCGAAAGGACCCCAGCCGCTTCATCGTTCCGACTCCATCATCAGTGAAGATAGAGTCAGAGATGTGAATAGAGCTGTTGACATCGGGAAGTTGGGTGGGAGGAGCGGATTGCGAAGCTGCCGAGGACAGGACTTGACTGAGTGGGCGCGTCGGGCGGGTGCGGCGGGGGGGCTTGATCACGCAGTGGCAACGGGGTCTAAGGCTTGGGATTGTGAATGAAACGGGACGACCGCTTCGTTTTCCAAGATTAGACAACAAGCAGGGTGAGGGAGGGGGTGTATAGATAGACAGAAGCCGTGGTAGTCCAGCGGTTGTTGTTTGTACTGCACTGTTTATTTATCATTTGACCTATTGGAAATGTTTGTATGGTTGGAGCGAGTCAAATTGTTTAATTGAGATTGTTCCAGGGTCACGGGATCAATTCACGGAGAAGCTGACTCATCCGCTTGCTCTCTGCATAACTAGTTAACTAACTCACTCTTTCGTAATCCAACCCAATGCTGCAAGCTGCTCATCAACTCATCCGGTATATGAAATCACGCAACTGCTTTAATTACCATTGCGACCATTGCACCCCGCACGCTTAGATTATCCTGCAGGCACTTCATCTGCAGGAGCCGGCGGATGTCACCCTGAACTCCACCCCTAAAATATTGGCAACATTGGCTTCAATGCCCCTCGGGTTGGCACGCCATTGCCAAAGTATTCAGCACTGACCGGGTCACCAATGGGCTGCAATGCTTTTCTACATCTCTGATCTTCATATTCTCAGGATCAGCTTGGGACAGAGTTGGAACTCCGCGTATAGACCTTCGATGGAACGGAAGACATGGCGAGTATACCGTTGAGATGCGCAAGCATTAATTTCGGGGACGTCGGGGTCAAACCTCGCGTCAATGGAGCAATGGATGTGGTGATGATGTTGAAGGAGATGAAGTGCGCTAACCTCTGCGCTAAGGCGAGCGCCAAGACCCTGCATGGACAGTATTCACGGTCTTCAGCCTGCGGAACTCCTCAGGGCGCCGCGCTGGTCCACCGGAGTCCGATGCATGTCGACATATTCTACCGCATCGTTGCGATCGCGAATGGTCCTCAACTGGTGATTCTGGTCTACTCAAGACTCATCGTGCGATGACCAGGATACAATGAGGTGAAATGATGCGATGAGGGTGTCTTCGAAGATGAGGATGCGGATGGAGGATGGAGGGCTCGTTCTGAGAAGCATAAATACTTCGTGAATTGCCCTTTCGAGTGCTTCTTCTCCATCATCATCAGCCAGCTCTCTGCTCCATCGCGGAAATCTCTAGCTTCAATACTCCAACTTCCTCAATTACTCACCTCGAGTTTCTATCCAATCCATCAAGATGAAGTTCACCGCCGCTATTGCTGCTAGCATCCTCGCTGGTACCGTTGCTGCCATCCCCAACCGCGGCCTCGAAGCTCGTGTCAAGGCTCGCGCGTCTGGCACTCGAGGCTCTCGCCCTCTCGAGGCTGTCAACCGCCCCGCGACGGTCAAGAACCAGACCAACGTGGAGTACAGCTCCAACTGGTCTGGTGCCGTCCTGGAGAGCCCCCCCTCGGCTTCTGCGACCTACACGGCTGTGACTGGTACCTTTACTGTCCCCGAACCCACCGGCACTGGTAGCGGCGCTGCCTCCGCCTGGGTGGGCATTGACGGGGACACCTACGGCAATGCCATTCTTCAGACCGGGATCGACTTCACCCTCACCAATGGCCGCGCTTCCTATGATGCCTGGTACGAGTGGTACCCCGACTATGCCTATGACTTCAGCGGCAGCATCGACATCTCTGCCGGTGATGTCATCGTCGCCATCGTTGAGTCGTCCTCTTCTACCAGCGGGACTGCTATCATCGAGAACAAGAGCACTGGCCAGACTGTGACCAAGAAGCTGTCTGCTCCCTACTCCAGTGCCAAGCTCGGTGGTCAGAATGCTGAGTGGATCGTGGAAGGTAAGTCTGAGCCTGAGTGTTGATTTGACTGGCATGAATATCGCCGGTACTAATCCTATGCATAGACTTCGAGGAGAATGGCTCCCTGGTTAATTTGGTCGACTTCGGCACCGTGACCTTCACCGGCGCCGTTGCCCAGGCTGCTGGCGGCGAGAGCGTCGGCCTCGACGACGCCACCGTCATTGAGATCGAGCAATCCGGCAAGGTTGTGACTGATGTCACTATCAACAGCGACTCCTCGGTCACTGTCTCCTACGTCTAAGTCATCTCGATGACTTTCGTTGACGGATCACATGGCAGCAGGTGAACCTGCCTGTGCGAGCACAGTTGGCGGAGGACATGGGCAGCGGGTTCTGCAGTGCTGGGGATGGTGAAGCGGGTTCAAGAAAGGCAATTAGTGGCTCTCTAGATATGGGTGTGGCGGCTTCCGTCCGCAAGTGTATCTTTACAGGTCAATACGAGACACGATAGCTTCCTGGATTGTTGCGCATACAAACTTCTTTCCCCAGTAGTGTTGATCCTTGCAGCGCCAACATAGTAAATCCAAGACTGTACGAGGAATTCTTATGGGAGAGCCGACGCTGCAGGAGGTATAAGTCTAAGACCATCTCGCGAAAATAAGATGATTCTGCGAGGCTCTATCCTCCCTGGCCAGGCAATCAGAACTCAGCAGGAAGACTCAGAAATTCGTAGGAACTCAATAATCGCCGAAACCCAATCCTGCTCAAGTGATGAGATTTACAAGGACTTCCTGATAATCATACACAACCATTTGAGTCATGATCTCTGTAAATCTTGGTGTTTCATCACCACGTGAGCATTGTCGCAAGTTGTACGATACATTAGCCAGCCAGGGATTGCAGTTACTTTAGGCTCGGCGGAATGAGTTATATATTCTGCCCGTTTCAGGCCTTGCCACTAGGGATCCAGTTCGAGGGCACGGTTAACCTCCAGATTACTTCGAGCGAAAAGCATACAATTAAGAATGTAGTCTCCGTCTTGTCCGACGGCCATACATCAAGCACATGGATGGACCTTGTTGCTATAATTGGGGGTGGCTAAGGCTCCTGCGGCGGGAGTAGCCGTGGTCAACAAGACTACAAGACTGAAGATACATACATAGTATGTGTTCCTCCGTTACAATGATCTATATTGCGACGACCCACGCAAAGGGTCTTGCTCTGTCTCTCGACAGCTGGCAACGCAATCTCCCCTTACCAAGCAACCCACCCACAAGCAACTCAGGGGGAGTGCCCTCACAGCCACGATCGTCATACCCGACTAAATTATGCTACGCTTCCTTCACATTGGACAGGAATGTGCCCGTGCGTCAGGTACAGCCTCCCCCCAACCAGGAAATACCCGTCTCGTCTACTGGAGTAGTCTTCCTGGCTATGAAGCATGACGTGGGCGCAAAAACAGCGAGCATGAAGGAATGATTACGTCGTGGGCACCGGGTCGCTGGGCCGGAGCCAGATCGGGTCTTGGCCAGATTGAGATGGGCCTAATGCGGTTTAGCGCCCCACAAGTCTGGGCGTGCGTCATCTTGACGGGTGCGGAATGGCTGCATTCCCACCAGTGATTTGTGTGATTTATAGTCCGGGGATGCTCCCCCCGGTTGCGGTCTTCACTCAGTCCATTATAATCAATTGATTTCCACAACCTCAACTATCTCCTCTCATCTTTCTTCCCACCACAAATTCTCTCACACACCCCCTCACAACCACCCATCATGATGAACCGTACACCCAGAGTCGCGACCCGCTGCCTCAGACAGCAACGTACCAACCCCCTGAAGAACCGCTACTCCAACGCCCGTTTCCAGTCCTCTTCCGCAGAATCTAGCTCCAACGGTAGCAGCAGCAGCAACCCCGCCCTGGTTGGCGGTCTGGCTGGTGGTGCGGTCACTCTCGTCGCGGGCTACGCCTGGTACCACTTCTCCGGCGCCCGCACGGTGGTCAAGACGGTCAAGCAGACCCAGAACTACGCCGACCAGGTGAAGCAGGGGATCGTTCAGAATGTACCCGAGCCCGACAGGGCCTTCGACTGGCTCCGCGACACCGTGAAGAGCTACGCCGGCTTCATCCCGGGAGCGCGCAAGTACATCGATACCGCGTTCGACGACCTCGAGAAGATCAAGCAGAAGCACGGCAGCGAGTTTGACGCGATTGTTCGCGATGCCTACTCGGAGATTAAGGGCGTGACCAAGAAGGGCGGCTCCAACGCAGATACCGCCTTCGAGGCCCTGCGCGTGCTACAGAAACACCTCGGTCGCTTGGCCGAGCTGTCCGGCGACGCGGCGGAGGATATCCTCGACAACCACCCCTGGCTGCAGGAGAAGGTCGGAGGCAGCTGGGACCAGCTGAAGCAGATGGGCGACGCGTACGGCCCGCAGGCCAAGGAGGAGGTCAACAAGACCTGGGAGCAGGTCTCCAGCATTGCCAAGGAGGGATTCAGCGTGCAGTCGGCGGAGAAGGTGCGCCAGTTGATCCAGGAGAAGAAGGAGAAGCTGCAGAAGATTGGCGATGAGGCGTGGCAGAAGGGCCTCGAGGAGAGCAAGCAGTACCTGGACAAGAACCCCCAGCTGAAGGAGCTGGTGGAGAACAACGCCGATGCGCTGAAGCAGGGCAACTTCGGCGAGCTGTGGGGTCTGGTCAAGGACTCGGCCTCGTCCGGCAAGACGGAGCAGGTGGAGAAGTTCGTCAAGGAGAAGGTCGATCAGGCCAAGAACAACAGCTCCTTCGACCTGGACAAGTGGACGAAGATGGTCCCCGGCGGATCGGACATCCTGAACCAGCTGCAGTCGCTGCGCACGGTGGGCGAAAAGAAGGGCAAGGAGGCGGAGGGAGTGCTCAAGGAGACGGTCGAGGAGCTGCAGCAGGTGTTGAAGAAGCGAAAGGACCAGATCGAGAAGCTGGCGAGTGAGGCCAAGGAGGAGAGCAAGTAGAGCATGACTCGATGTATTTTAGAATTATGTGTATCATATACCCAATGCCATATTTTATGATTCATGAATGTGCCTAGAGTAGTGTAATTAGTCACCACTCAGTATATTTGATCTGATCTGATCTGATCTGATACCAGATGCACACATACCTTATGCCTGCCTGATGGATCCCACTCAGTCTAGACAGGGATTCTCACTCAGCGGATGACTAACCACGGATTAGTCAAGGGGAGTCTGGACCCTTGGGTGTTACGAAGCCAGTGAGTGGCCCCTCAGATCATCAATCAGCCAGTTAGGGCTGGCCATTTGCCCGAGGGATTTCCATGGTTTGCGGGGTCAAATCAAGTCAGCAGACGGCCCATTCCCTCTCCAGTGAAAAGTGATGATGTCGACAACCAGTGGTGAAATGAGCATTATTCACCTGTCAATGCCGATGATCCCCCGCTTCGCTTCCTGCTTCCAATCCCCACCACGTGTCTGGCCCTTTGTGGTCAGTCAGCAAATGAAGGGCGAGGCAGTTGTCCATTACTCATGCCGTCTTGGCCAGCCTGGCTGTCCTACCCAGCCTGCATTCACTGGGAGGGTATAAGTACAGGTATACAGTGCGGGGTTGGGTTTCTTCCCCTCTTTTCTGATTTCCATTCCTCCATCCTCTCATCTTCATCTTCATTTTCATCTTGAGTATCATTTTGATCGATCAATATCATCATCATCATCATCACTGCATTATTGCATTTCAACATCCTCCTCCTCCTCCTCCTGCTCCTCAGATCTCTTGACTGAGCAACCCCTTCCCTCTCAAAAAAACCTAACACCACCATCATGGGCGAGTCCAAGTGTCCCTACAAGGCCCACGCCAATGTGGCCGGCGGGGGCACGCGTAACACCGACTGGTGGCCCGAGCAGCTGAAGCTCAACATCCTCCGCCAGCACACCTCCACCACCAACCCATTGAAGGCCGACTTTGACTATGCTGCTGCCTTTCAGAGCCTGGATTACTTTGCCCTCAAGAAAGACCTCCATGCCCTGATGACCGACTCCCAGGACTGGTGGCCTGCCGACTTCGGCCACTACGGCGGTCTCTTCATCCGCATGGCCTGGCACAGTGCTGGCACTTATCGGGTCTTCGACGGCCGTGGCGGGGGAGGGCAGGGCCAGCAGCGATTTGCCCCCCTCAACAGCTGGCCCGACAACGTGAGTCTGGATAAGGCTCGTCGGCTCCTGTGGCCCATCAAGCAGAAGTACGGCGACAAGATCTCCTGGGCCGATCTGCTGCTGCTGACGGGCAATGTCGCCCTCGAGTCCATGGGCTTCAAGACCTTTGGGTTCTCGGGTGGCCGCCCGGACACCTTCGAGGCCGATGAGTCGGTCTATTGGGGTGGGGAGACAACCTGGCTGGGCAACGATGTCCGGTACTCCGATGGCAAGCCCGGGGTGGCGGCTGAGGGAGTGGTCGACAGCGATCAATCCCCCCATCGCGACATTCACAAGCGAGACCTGGAGAAGCCCTTGGCGTCGGCGCACATGGGTCTCATCTATGTCAACCCCGAAGGGCCGGACGGCAATCCCGATCCCGTGGCTGCGGCTCGGGACATCCGCGTCACCTTCAGTCGCATGGGAATGAACGACGAAGAGACGGTCGCTCTCATCGCCGGAGGTCACAGCTTCGGCAAGACCCACGGGGCAGCCCCGTCCAGCAATGTGGAGGCAGAGCCTGAAGGCGCCGGCCTTGAGTCGCAGGGTCTCGGCTGGAAGAACAACCACCAGTCTGGCAAAGGCCCCGACACCATCACCAGTGGCCTGGAGGTGATCTGGACCAAGACTCCCACCAAGTGGAGCAACAATTACCTGGAGTATCTGTTCCGCTATGACTGGGAGCTCACCAAGAGTCCCGCGGGGGCTCACCAGTATGTGGCCAAGGACTCCGAAGCCATTATCCCGGACGCCTACGACCCCTCGAAGCGCCACCGGCCAACTATGCTCACCACCGATCTCTCCCTCCGCTATGACCCCACCTACGAGAAGATCTCCCGTCGCTTCCTCGAGAACCCCGATCAGCTGGCCGATGCCTTCTCCCGCGCCTGGTTCAAGCTTCTCCACCGCGACATGGGCCCCCGCACTCGGTACATCGGACCTGAGGCCCCCACCGAGGAGTTGATCTGGCAGGATCCCATCCCTGCCGTCAACCATCCTCTCATCGATGCCAACGACATCGCCTCCCTCAAGCGCACCATCCTGGAGAAGAGTGGCGTCGACCGGTCGAAGCTGGTGTCGACGGCGTGGGCGTCCGCCTCGACCTTCCGGGCCAGCGACAAGCGCGGCGGTGCCAACGGCGCCCGCATTCGCCTGCAGCCCCAGCGGGATTGGGAGGTGAACCGACAGCCCGGGCTGCAGGAGACCCTAACTGCCCTGGAATCCATTCAGAAGGAGTTCAACGGCTCTGCTCCCAACGGAAAGAAGGTCTCCCTGGCCGATCTGATCGTGCTGGCCGGCAGTGCGGCTGTCGAGCAGGCGGCTCGTGAGGCTGGCCACAACATCCAAGTCCCCTTCATCCCCGGTCGGACGGATGCCTCGCAGGAGCAGACTGACGTCGAATCCTTCAGTCATCTGGAGCCGGTGGCCGATGGCTTCCGCAACTACGGTCGCTCGACCCCTCGCGTGCGCACGGAGCAGTTCCTCGTGGACCGGGCTCATCTCCTCAGCCTGTCTGCGCCGGAACTGGCCGTCCTGGTCGGTGGGCTGCGCGTGCTGAACGCGAACTACGATGGATCGTCTCACGGGGTCTTCACCTCCCGACCGGGGCAGTTGACGAACGACTTCTTCGTCAATCTGTTGGATATGAGCACGGCCTGGAAGGCGACGGATGCCAGTCGGGAGTTGTACGAGGGCACCGATCGCAAGACCGGCCAGCGCAAGTGGACGGCCACGCGCGCGGATCTGGTCTTCGGCTCGCATGCCGAGCTGCGGGCGATCGCCGAGGTTTATGGGAGTGTCGATGGTCCAGCTCGATTTGTCAAGGACTTTGTGGCCGCTTGGGACAAGGTCATGAATCTGGATCGGTTTGATCTCAAGAAGCAGTCGATTGTGTCCTCTCGATTGTAGCTCTGCCGGAGCACGGCTAGTCTGTTTGTAATGAGTTGAGGCAATGAAATCAGCTTATCTTGTTACGTTGTGCTTTGTGTTGTTGGTTGTAGCAGTTCCAGCAAAGTTGGTGGAGTTGAAGCATGACTGAAGCATGGGTCTGTAGCACACCCGGTAGCTTTGCCTTCCAATTTCTCCGGGGGCGAATTCAGGGGCAATGCACTTCGGACTTTCGTATTGGACAGTGAAATGGCTAAATGGCTGTGCAACAATTGCTGTTATGGATTAACTCTTGAGCAACCGGATACCAGTGTTGAGGAAGGATGATTCAGAGCTGTCGCAGTCGAGCACAAGATGACGAGCAGACTGACTAGCTCGACTGACTAGTCTACAAGCATTCTGGTGTGGGTAGGGATCGGCCGCGTCGGTCCAGTCAAAACACAATATTTCACCATTTCACCAGAAGGCCGACCCAGTTTAGGCAGCAACCAAAGCCCACGGTGTGAGTGGTCTGATGCTGCGTGGTTCAGGGGGAAGAAATGGAGTCAGCCCTACTACGGGTGGGTCAGCCCTATCTATCTATCTCTCTCGCTCACCCAGCCCTATCCCCCATCACCCCTTTCACGCGTCTGAAGAGCCAGCCAGGGCATGTATACGACGAGCTTCATCAATATAGCCTCAGTAGGCCAAGATGGAACATGTAAAGGCTGATTGTACTGAGACACTGAGCTGGATTGACCACCGAGTGGGCGTAGCAACCTAAAACATCGGCGGACTGAATGCCATCCTGCTACGACCCACGCCACACGCCACCAGAACACGGGACAGTATCCTCCTCTACGGCAACCATTCATGGAAAGGCTGGGAAGGTCTCGTAGAGATTACAACACTCTGTCACATAATTTGAGATCGAGAAGCCAATTGTACTCGACGTCCCGTCGCTGAGCTACTCCCAGAATGGCCAGAGTGAGGCCCTGGCACTGGGAGCAGGTTGCGAAGACCCTGGTAGGGCTGGCCAGCAGACCAAATGAGCATTGAGAAGCTAAAATCATGACATCGCGCCCCATAATGCTACCACTACCGGATGCCGGTCGATATACTCCGTAGTTATATGCCACACCACACGCCGCATCATGAACACCGCCCGACCAAGTGTTTCTCTGTGCAGTCCACCGGCTAGCCTTGGATCATGTCGAGCAAGATAGGCCGTCTTGCGGCCAAACTGCTGGGAATTGAACTTATCCCCTCTGATCCAACCCCTACCTCCCACAAGCGCGACGCATACGAACATGTCGACTACTATCTCGAGCCTGAACCTACCCTCGGTGACTGGGTGCGAGAGCATACGCCCTCTGGGCGGGCCGTCCGCCACTACTTCTACCACATGTTTCCCTTTTGGCAATGGATATGGTCATATAATATGCAATGGTTCATTGGTGACATGATTGCCGGTAAGTGCAGCTCATGGCCTACCACAAAAGTCGGAAAGCCTGACAGATGGTGGTTCCAGGTATCACTGTCGGTGCGGTAGTAATTCCTCAAGGCATGGCTTATGCCATCTTGGCTAAGCTGCCGGCGGAATACGGACTCTACTCCTCCTTCATGGGGGTTCTGATCTATTGGTTCTTCGCGACTTCCAAAGATATTACCATCGGGGTAAGTACTCACTTCCAATTGTCATGCACACCCAACGGCTGACCGACCTAACCCTCCACTCTCTTAGCCGGTGGCAGTCATGTCTACTCTCGTCGGGACCATCATCATCGACACGCAAGAGAGATACCCCGATATCGAGGCGACCACGATCGCCGGAGCTCTAGCCATTGTGTGTGGTGCCATCGTCACCTTTCTGGGACTGACTCGTCTGGGATTTATTGTCGATTTCATTCCGCTGCCGGCCATTACAGCGTTCATGACCGGCTCTGCGATCAACGTGTGTGCTGGACAGATTAAGACTGTTCTCGGTGAGACTGCCAGCTTCTCGACTCGGGGAGCGACATACAAGGTCATCATTGATACCTTGCGCTATCTCCCGACCTCCCAAATGGACGCCGCCATGGGCCTGACTGCCTTGGCTATGCTGTATGGCATCCGGTCGGCGTGCAATTACGGCTCACGCAAATACCCTCACAAGGCGAAAGTCTTCTTCTTCCTCTCCACTCTCCGCACCGTCTTTGTCATCTTGTTCTACACGATGATCAGTGCGGCGGTCAACCTGCACCGTCGCCACAACCCGGCTTTTAAGCTGCTGGGCAAGGTGCCGTACGGCTTTCAGCACGCTGGAGTCCCCGAGATCAGCGTGGATATCATTCGAACCTTTGCACACGAGCTGCCAGCCGCGGTGATCGTCCTGGTGATTGAGCATATTGCTATTTCCAAGTCGTTCGGTCGCGTCAACAACTATACCATTGATCCGTCGCAAGAGTTCATCGCCATTGGGATTGCGAACCTGCTGGGACCCTTCCTCGGGGGCTATCCCGCCACCGGCTCCTTTTCACGCACCGCCATCAAGGCTAAAGCCGGGGTGCGCACGCCTCTGGCTGGTGTGATCACTGCGGTGGTGGTTCTGCTGGCGATCTATGCCCTGCCGGCTCTGTTCTTCTTTATCCCTTCATCCTCCCTGTCCGCCGTGATTGTGCACGCCGTGGGGGACCTGATCGCCCCCCCGAGCACCATCTACCGATTCTGGCAGGTTGCCCCCTTGGACGCGATCATCTGCCTGGTGGGGATCGTGGTCATCATTTTCTCGACCATCGAGATCGGGATCTACTGTACGATCTGCATGTCCCTGGCGGTGCTACTCTTCCGCATTGCCAAAGCGCGCGGGCAGTTTCTCGGGCAGGTGCAAATCCACTCCGTGATCGGAGACCACCTGTTGGATGACTCCAGCACGATCGACCTGACGAAGAATGATTACACTCAATCTGCTCCACGATCGCTCTACCTCCCGGTCTCCCACACGGATGGCTCCAACCCGGCGATCCAGCTGGTTCAGCCCACGCCGGGGGTGTTCATCTACCGTCTCTCGGACGGGTTCAACTACCCCAATGCCAATCACTACACCGACCATCTCGTCCAGCACATCTTCGATCATACCCGACGGACCGATCCTGCGAGTTATGCTAACCCTGGGGACCGGCCGTGGAACGACCCCGGTCCACGCGCGAGGAACAATGCGGAAAGGTCGACCATGGTGGACTCGTCTGTCTCCCAGCCCATACTCCGAGCCATCATTCTAGACTTTTCTGCGGTCAACAACGTCGATATCAGTGCCATCCAGAACCTGATCGACGTCCGCAAGCAGTTGGATCAGTATGCCGCCCCAAATCTGGTGCAGTGGCATTTCGCGCATGTCAACAACAAATGGACGAAGCGTGCCCTGGTGGCTGCTGGCTTTGAACGCCATCTGCCGTCGGAGTCGCCACAGGGTAGGGTGGTAGATCTGGCGGAGTGGGATGAGGGCCCGGTGGATGGGACGGCGCTTCGACCGAGCGATGCCGAGTCTCAAGCCAGTGGCAAGGGCTGGATTGATAAGCAAGGCATGCGAACAACAACCAAACCGACGCAGGCTGCACTGGATGAGTCGGACCTGTCGTCGGATATTGAGCATGCCATCACCACGACGCATCCAGTGCCACACACGGGTGGCACTGTGTTTGACCGCCCGCGACGACGCATCGCCATGGTGATTGGTGTGAATATGCCGCATTTCCATGCCGATCTGACGGGGGCGTTGGCAGCGGTCAATAAGAGCTTGGAAGGGGGGGTGGGGGGGTCTCCTAAGCTGTAGGTTATGCGATGTTACGCTACGTACTGAGAATAATCAATGAATCGGCCCAGCACAACTTCAGCCGGTTGCGTTTATGTCACTCGTAGTAAAGATTCCAGGTCTCTGTCTCCCTACGGGCGCAAAGCTCATAGAATTCATCCAGCATCGCCGATCCTCTTTATACCTCCACCTCAGCCGGTCGCACAACGATAGAATCGTCTCCCATCTTGTTCGGGCTTCCCTCACGCGAGGTCCTCCGCGCATCGATGAGAGGAGGCTCCCCCGTCGTCACGCCAATTCTTCCTCTCGCCAGGTCTCGCTTCTCAAGATAGGCAATCAGTCCAATAAAGGGGAGGGTCAACGCCCCCGTCACCAAACTCGCGATATACCCTTTGTGGAAGTTGGGCGCATCGGTGGCCGGGAAGAAGATCAACGGCCACCAGGTAACAAAGGCAAAGTCGAACGAGTTCATAAACCCGGTGGTGATGGCCCGCAGCTGGAGGTCATGGGCTGTCACGTCGGCCATCCATGAGTACCAGATCGCCTGGGGAGCATAGGTGGTGCCGACCAGGTAGAAGGCCACGAAGTACCCTGCGTCGGTGGATGGGTTGGAGACGAGAATGGAGGAGCCGATGACGAAGGTGAAGCCGATGGCGAGCGAGACCTGCCAGCGTGACTGCAGTCGGTCGGAGATGATGGCGTAGAGTACCGTGCCAAAGATGGCGGCAGCATAGATTCCGGTGGGGTAGTTGTTCTGTTGGATGGTCGAGTAGCCCCTTGAAGCCATCCAGTAGGGCATCACATTGTTTGACACCTCTTGCACCGATAGGGAGTACACTGTCCGATGATCAGGGGGTCAGAGTGGTCGAAGGAAGACGGACACCTGGGGCAAGCGGCTACATACGCATGAAGATGAACGGCAACAGCCAGAACTGCCAGCTGAGCAAGACACGCTTGAAGACTGTAGCATCCCAGGATTGCTTGCGCACGGCGCCTAGTCGAGTCACCGCGTGTTCTTTCTGCTCCTCAGTGAGATACCAGGCGGATCGGTGGGATGGCAGGTCGGGAATGAACACCCAGCCTGAACACGACTTGTTAGTCTTCAACGGTCGTCAATCGTGTGGTGACGATGCCCAAACCCACCAAAGAGTGCAACCGGGACGGTCATCACGGAGACAATGATGAAGATCCATTTCCACGCTGGCAGACCCCCTTTGCCCGCCAGTGCCGTCAACAGACCCGCCTGGATCCATCCCCCAGCCATCGTGCCGATATGGCCAAACACACAGAAGACTGCTGCCCGCATCCCGAGCTCGGACTTCTGATACCACGAGCCGAGAATGAACTGGGCTCCCACACTGGTCCCAGGGTCAGCATCAGCACATCAAACTTCATGCAACCCTGATGGTGGACATACTAGGCAATAGCCGAGAAGCCTCCTTCGATCGCATTCAGCAAGATGACCTGCCAGGCCCGCGTCATCTTGTAGGTGATCAAGGTCAGGACGCTCCAGGTCACATTGGCGGTGACAAACACGTATTTGGGGCGGGCAATGGTCAATAAGCTGGTGCCGGGCATCTGGCACACCGCATACACCACCAGGTAGGCGGTGTTCATGTAATTGTACTCCTTGCCCTGGAAGCCGAGGGCCTCTTTCATCCCGCTGATATAGGCGGACGAATAGCTGGATCGGGTGACGCCAAAGAGAAACCAAATCAACGAGAAGTAGGGCAATAAGGTGATGTCCAGTTTGGCCAGCAGAGCGCGAGTCTTGGGCTCTGATCCCCACAGTCGGATCGCCAGCCAACTGCGAAGCGAGGCCATGATGCTTCTACAGAAGGAGGGGTGCACTGTTCGGTGGTTCAAGGGTGGTGGTGGTGAATGGAGCGAGCCGCGGGAAAGGCTTATCTCGACCTATATAAGTTAACGGTCGCCAAAGAGAAAGGCTTGGAGAATCAGCATTACACAAGCGGGTGGCTGTCACACGCCATCTTGTGAATGGTACTTTGCTCTGGCGTCAGTGAAAGGAAGAGGGGAAGAAGCCAAGTCTTATTGGTCATGGCGAAAACTCCTTGCAGATGGTGAAATCCGCCGCAGCTGATAAGCATGATGCCGTTGAAGCGGTGACTAAGTAGTTATGCAGCTTTTGTGTAACATGCAAAAAAGAAGCAAAAGTGAAAGCCCAACGCGGGGGTTGAACCCGCAACCTTGAGATTAAGAGTCTCACGCTCTGCCGATTGAGCTAGCCGGGCTGGTTGGTGATGACGGTGCACGCATTGGATCATATAACGCTGCGTTTAAGTAAGAATGAACCTTTGCAGCCTGTTGAATTCGTGGTGGTGAAGAACCTGAACTCGACCCCCCGCATCAACGGAGTCTCGTCCCAGTCTGGATTATCGGCTGCACTGGCTGCCAGCAGAGCCGCGGGCAAGTCGAGACTACTACATGAAGGATATATCAACTCTAAACATCATGGGTGTGGAGTTGGGGTTGAGGTAGGGGACAATGAAAAGGTGTAACACATGCTCCGCTTGCCAAAATATATGTGATGCTACGGACTACTAAACTTCCCGAATGCGACTACGCCACCACGTCGATCTGACAGTGGCAATTAGCAGCAGCTCACGAGTGTGTATGGTATGAAGTAACCTGACTCCTCAGGGTCAGCAATGGCCTAGGGAAGATTGAAAGTACCAATCAGTTGTGGCTGCCGAGAAACCCGAGGGAGCGACCGGGCCACACGTGACCAGATTCCAGAGGCTTATCGAATCTTACTGTAACTTAACTATCGGATAAGCTTATCTTATCTACGGTCGGCAACTCTGCATTCAACTGCATCATGCATACAGACCCAAGAGGATGGCGGCAAAAAGCATCTCATCGGTAACATTTATTCCGACCCCCGTAGGTCTAGGTGCCAGGGCAGTGTGTAGTTGCGCGGAGGCGGTGCCGTAGCGCTCCCAGCTCAGCAGGCGCTGATAACGGTCGGCGTGGACGGTGGCCAAGTTCTGTACCAGGGAGTCATTATCGCTCGCTTCTCACGTGTCGTACAGTACAACTGGTTCACACCGGTACAAACAGTGAAAAGAATCGTTCCAGAACATCCGAGTCCTCCAATGAAACAACTAGTGAGCAATGCTGGTCAGGACGCAATAACACCACACAGCCCTCCGGCGCGATACCATAGAGCGAGTAGGCCGTGCCACAGCCCGGCGCAAACCCCTCGTTGTCGGCGAAGACCCTCCTATACTCACGGCCCCTCCGATCGTCGTAGGGGCGAAATATTGGGGGTAGGCTCGTGAGTTGAACATCGAACCTAGAGGCGGAATGGATCAAGTATACTGCTACTGACCCCACGGCTGTTGTCGCCCCTGACATCCAGCGCGGAGCAAGAATGGAGTTGGGGCGGGTGAGCTGTCGCGCCAGGGCTTCCACCCGCTGCATTTGCAACGCCTGGCTGATGTCGCCCCCGAAAACAAGCAGGTGCCATTGCCCCGTGCTCGGGAGTCTCTCTTGGAGATGCCATGGCTGCGAATCACTTTGACAGAGCACAAGGACATCTGGCAGACGTCGACCAACCACAATGTTCTCAGCCAGGTGAGGCTTGCTACAGTAGAGGACCCCGTTCTTGTCTGGTGACGAGTGAGAGTCCCGGGTGCCAGTCACCAAGAGATTCGGGGGATAGGTGACACTCAATCCTGAGGCTGTCGTGTTCTCCTCGGAGAGGGTGCCTTCAAGTCCGGTGGCCTTGTCCTTGAAGTCTGCCGGCTTTTCTCGTTCGGCCGAATCATGGTCCGGACCGGAGCATACACCCAAGCACATTCGGCGATCAAAACGGATCAATCGCTCGGCGACAGGTAGCCTCTCTTCCTGGTATGTTCGCAGGATGGCAGGTGTAGCCACGCCTTTCAAGACCGAAGCCAGCTTCCAGCCCAAGTTGTAGGTATCCTGCATGCTGACGTTCATTCCCTGACCGGCCTTAGGCGAATGGGTATGGACAGCATCCCCCGACAGAAAGATTCGATCTTGCACCGAGAAATTCCTGCATAATCTCTGGCCAACCTTCATCAGAGTCAGTCGTAGTTCGCATGTTTCCACACTAGTTGATCAGAACATACTGTATATATTGTACACCACGCGACGTGAGAGGTGACGAGGTAATACGGCTTCAACGCATCGCCAAGACTCGACAAGAGGACCAAAGGTTGGCGGTCTCTTCGAAATCGAGTCGCACATCTGGCGGGGAGTTGAATATAGAAGCGTACGAGATTGTCTTCTCTAGGAATGATCATAACATTGCCGGTGGGGGATTTGATAATGCACCGTTTGCGAATGTCAGCTACGAAACATCAACGGTCTGTCAGCGTAGGCAGCCGATAAAGGTACGAGAGGAGGAACTGACGAAAGTCGGTGGTTGGTATACAGTCAAGCACGCCCCAGTTGTCGTTGCTGGCAGTCTCCCCCTCCAGGCTCAACCCCAATTGTTTGCGAACCCAGCTGTGGGCGCCATCACAGCCGATAAGGTATCTGGTGCGCACGAATGACTGGTTTTCAGTGGTCTCAGCCCTGTCCTAGCTTGCGAGGGATCCCAAGACTCACATCTGTGCCCAGTCGGAGTTCAACAGCAAATTCCCTGTGAAGATCCACCAGATCTCGGTGAATGAGGAGCTCCTGAGGTGACGTCTCCCACTTGATTTGCACATCTGGGGATTTATTGACAAATTCGAGTAGACGTTCTTCAATCCGCCCTTGGCCAAGGGTGACTTCCTGGAATCTAGACAGCCCCGGGTTGTAGTTGGGCGAGACGCTGTCGCGACATAAGACTCCTCGAGGATCCCGGTGCTAGAAGCATGCCTGGCGGTTATGACTTCTCTCGACTCACAGCGGGACAAGGTATACGAACCCATAAACACACTTCCATGGTCCGGTTGGATTCCTTCCAGATGATACCAGCAAGACCAAAACTGTCCAGAATTTCCAAAGTTCTACTTTCGAGCCCGTCTGCATGCCCTGTCAACGTCCGACATGACTTCCTTTCGATCACGAGGGTCTTGATGCTCAATTGAGCCAGCCAAACAGCCGCCATCAATCTGTGGCCTTGTTAGCCACCCAAGATCACCCCCGTTAGTCCTGTCACTTACCCTGCGGGTCCCGCCCCAATAATAACCACATCAAAGTCCACGGAGGGCGCGGGCTGTTCTTGGCAGATCATGTTTAGGATAATAAGGTTTCTGTGGCGTGGTTAGTCAATGCGACGTTTGTTGAAACAGAAACGGTGCTACGGGGGGCGTGGAAGTTGATAAATATGCTAATCTCGACCAATCCCCCACAACATGGAGATGCCCAGGCAGAATGAAGCGAGTGGCTTGTGTTGCAATGATGCAGTATGCAAATCTCTGCACATACTTCCTGAACAGGCGTCATCAAATTCTATCGCCATCAACACGTATGCAGTGGCAAGCATGAGCAGGCAAAACTAGCTCATTCTGGTGCCTGTGGTTAGCCAACACTTTGGCCGCTTCAGCAACCGCGTGCTGGTGAGCTAATGGGATTGCTTCTTCATCGATAACCTAGAGACATGATCTTCTCACCGCCATTAGGGCATTGCGCCTATGATGTAGTTTTTGAAAGGCCCGTCCAGCGCATTGTTTTCCATTGCTTGCTGGCCCGTTCACACAGTGACGTTGATGACACAATGTGTGTAGATCAATGATTTGAGTGACGTCCTACCGCATGCTTATTGATCTGGAACTAATGGACTCATGTAATTGTCCTCCGAGAGACGAAAGACTTATAAGTGCTCAGGGAGTCAGGTTCGTCCTACGAGAAACACACTTAACTCATTCCCAAGCGCATCATCAAGCCTCATCTTTCATTGGACTTTACCCAGTCGACAATCCTCGAGGGAGTACAAAGATCATTTACATCCGAAGTAGCAATGTCCAGTCACCTCGATTTGCTGAAGCAGACATGGGCTCTGCTTGACCGATTCAGCAAGGTTGGTGATCAGGTGGTGATCGGCGAGGATGAACTCACCCTAGCAGCCGTCGTGGCCGTGTCAAGGTGAGATCATGACCCCTGGAGATATCAGGCAATCAGCCTAGGGATAGAGTAGCAGGTTAGCAAGACTAAGCTGTAGTAGGGCTTCCACAAAGGTATCGGTGCAGAAGTCGCCTGAGCTGATGCAGCGGCTGGTGAGGTGTGTTGACACCATGAATGCGGAACTTGAAAGGGGAGGGCAGATATATGGTAAATTTCATTACCCCTAACCGTGGCAATTCGAGGTCGATGGGCTGATGATCTTTGCAGGAGTCAACACTGGGTGTGGGGGCAATGCAAACACGCGTACATCCAAGCTGCAAATCATCCAGCACTCGTTTTTTCAACATCACCAGGCAGGCATTCTTCCGCAGCTTGTCTATCCTCGGGGCAATACTTTGCGCGATATGAACCAGGAAAGCCAAAGCCTGTCGCCCGAAATTACTCGCGGCACCATTCTCCTCCGCTGCAACTCGCTCCTCCGTGGTCACTCAGCCGTAAGAATCGAGGTCATTGATCTCCTTCTTCGGGTCCTGAGCGAGGGGTATGTGCCGCTAATTCCCCTAAGGGGTAGCATTTCCGCCTCGGGCGACCTGTCCCCTCTTTCATACGTTGGGGGCTTGGTGGAGGGGAATGCCGATGTCTTTGTGCGGTTCGAGGAGGAAGACGGCAAGCAGACCATTATCCCCGCGGCAGATACTCTGCAGCGACTGGGTCTCGATCCCCTCAAATTGAATGCTAAAGAGGGCCTGGGCATCATGAATGGCACAGCTGTCAGTACCGCTGCGGCTGGTCTAGCCCTTTATGATTGCCACCAGATGGCCCTCCTGGCGCAGGTCCTGACTGCGATGGCGACCGAGGCGCTCCTTGGAACCGTGGACAACTATCACGAATTCATCGCCCGATGTCGACCCCATTATGGGCAAACTGAAGTTGCCCGCAATATTAGAGGTTTCCTGCGGGGATCTGCCCTCTGCCATGAGACCGATCCCAAGAAAACAGGGCTGGTGCAGGATGGCTACTCATTACGAACTGCGCCCCAGTGGATCGGTCCTCATCTTGAAGACCTTATGTTAGCTGCACGCCAGATTGACGTTGAGTTGAATTCCACCACAGACAATCCGTTGATCGACGTCGAGGGGCAGCGCTTTCATCACGGCGGCAACTTCCAAGCCGCGTCCGTGACCAGTGCAATGGAAAAATGCCGCTCGGGCCTAGTTATGCTCGGAAAGATGATTCAAGGCCAATGTGAGGAATTGACCAATCCCTCACTCAGCAGGGGACTGCCTGCAAATCTAGCGTTGGACGATCCTAGCCTATCGTTCACAGTTAAGGGCCTCGATATCAACATGACGGCATATTACTCAGAGCTTGCATTCCTGAGCAATTCGATCAGCAACCACGTGCATTCTGCCGAAATGAATAACCAATCCGTCAACTCACTGGCGCTGGTCGCGGCCCGATATACTGGTGAATGTGTGCAAGTCTTGTCTATGATGTATGCTGCCCACTTGTATATTTTGTGTCAAGCTTTGGATATCAGAGCCCTCAGCATGGAGTTCTTTGCCAAGGCCAAGGCGAAATCAAGAACGCTTTACCAGGAGATCTTCGCGGGTGGTCTAGAGTTGGCCTTGATTGATTTCGAATTGGTGTGGACACAGGTCATCTCCACCTGGGATCAGACAGGCCATCTTGATCTTGCAGATCGGTGTAACCACGTTGCCATGCAGTCATTTGCTCATCTCCTGGACGTGGAGATGCGAGAAATCAACGCTTCTTCGCCCACCTTGTGTGGCCAGATCAAACTGTGGAAGGACAGGTTGGTGGAGCTTATGGCCACCTGCTACGACGAGACCCGGCAGGAGTTCATCAAGTCTCCCTCAACTTGCACCTACTTGGGTGAGGCGAGCAAAGCAATGTACCAGCTTGTCCGGTGTGACCTTGAAATCCCCTTGCATCAAGGTATCAGCGATCATCCACCACTTGCGGCAGCAGCAGGAGAATGCGAAGGCAAGAGAACCATTGGCTCGTATGTATCACGAATATATGTAGCACTGAGAGAAGCGAGATACGTCGAGCGACTTCGGACCCTGGTTGCTGCGGAATGCAAGGCCGAATAAGTGATGAGAGAGGTAGCAGTGAAAGAAATCTGGGCTGGTGGCAAGTGTGGGATTTGACTACCTGTTGCTGTCCATGGGAATATGCATCCTGTCCGTACAAAGGATCCTAGAGCGGGGTCGGGGATCGGTAAGTGGGCTTTTCTCGCTTACTTGCCCGTGAGATTCTGTCTCTACTCGTAGCTCATTGTGCCGAGTTTCTGAAGTACTATGTTTCGCTGTTCTTCTGTCTGTCTCTTTCTCTCTCTCCATTCCCCAAATGATCTGCCGTGAAGGGATCGGACTTGCCGACAGCCCAGCCCAGACCGATAGTTGTGTAGTACAGCATAGTACATTAGATCGAAAGTAACCGATCGAGTAGTTAATCTCATCCCTTGCTTAAGATCGACTGCACCACACAAGACGCAAGAACACGTGATATTATGACGGCATCATTGTGCACCAGGAATTAATGCAAGGGGCAGAGCAGAGACATGTTGTAGACCAGTTCCGGGAATACTAAACATTCCGAAGGAAAAGTTAATGCGTGATGATGCATTGGTGAGAAGCTAGAATTCCGGTCGATGGAATCGACCGAGCAAGATAGGGTTCAGGCATTGGCGAGAGATCCAATAAGCACAGGAAAAACACCCGCCTTTTACATCATACTTATTTAACCGTGCTTTGATTTCCATGAAAGGGCTATAATATATTCCTGCTCCAGCCCGCAACATGGTCTTTTGACGATGTAGACTGATATTTATCGCAGCTCTTGTGTGAATGTCTTTTGTTTACTAGCACTTTCCGGCTAGTTCCATCCGAATTGCCTCGAGAAGCTCAACACCAATTGCCAGAATGATTCAGTTCTATTTGCCAGAAGAAACCGTTTATGTCAGTCAATCTCAGCTGCCAAGGTTGAATCTCTACTTGACCGAAGATCCTGACTTTTGAACCAGCACAATGACGGTCGAGAGGAGAAACTGTTGGAGTTTATCCTATCTCACCCCGATTATGCCTTGATGAAAGGTTGCCCGGACAGGATCCTAGCCGCCATCGATGAATATGGGAGGGAGAAAGCTTTTCTCATGAATGTTGGGACTGAGAAAGGTCAAATTGTCAGCAAAGCCATATCCCGCGCCAAACCAAAGGTAATCGTTGAACTCGGGGGTTACATTGGCTATTCTGCTCTTCTGTTTGGGGATGCACTTAGGAAGGCAGGAGGTCAAAAGTACATCAGCCTTGAAGTCAGCCCTATCTTTGCCAGCGTCTCCGCTGCTCTAATCGACCTAGCTGGCTTGAATGATATTATTGAGATCATGGTGGGACCTTGTCGGGACTCACTACGAGCCCTAAGCGAGACATACCCCGGCCATAGCCTGGACATGTTCTTCTTTGACCATGCCAAGGTTGAGTATACGAACGACCTCAAACTTTGCGAAGAGCTCGGCTTGGTGTCGCAAGGTACTACCGTCGTTGCCGACAATGTCAGCCGGAATCCTGAGTATCTAGAATACGTCCGTGCATCGGGCCCAAAGAAGAGGATGGCAGCAGATGAAACCAAGCGATTGACATTGTGTCATGAGTCTGACATGTCCCTTGGTCGGCCTGATCTGCGATATGAGACGTCCGTGGTTCACAGTATTGAACCCACTGGAGAGCCCGTCAGTATTTGCACGTCTAGCAGTCCCGTCAGCGCTAACAGATCCACAGGATGCAGTGGATATTTCGTATTGCTTGGGAAGTAGCTAGTGGAACGCAAGCCCTTACCGGTCAAATTCTGTGCGCCGACAAGTAGTGAATTCGACGGGTCGAGTATAATTAGGATCAAATTGAAGCGAGATGTCTCATTCCGAGAACAAAGTGCAGACATTATTCGGTGCTCTCCACATTTCTAGCCAAATTTGGTCATCATAAAGCACCGTATCCTTGTTAAGCAAACCGTACCGCTTGCAAAGAGACCATCGCTTCTAGGCCTGTACGTAGTTGATACCAATGTCCCGACGACAGATCTAGATAACCCATGGCCACCAAGCTGTTAGCCGCGTACTCCTCCTCGACAAGTCCCAAGATAAGATATTGACAAGGTAAGATAGCAGTCATAAAAAAGACTGACACTAAAGAAAGGCCATGCTACTGCTCTTTACGCATCGATCGACATCAAATAACCCCGCGGCGTGAAGAAATCGCGGGACTGGCAGGACTCGGCCCATGCAGGGTTCATGTAGCCGGTCTGGTACAGCGAAGGACAATCATATCAGGCATGATCATTGCTGTGTAATTACCAGAAGTAGTGACTTGCAAGCTCGTCACCAGCAGCATCTTCGAGGACGAGGCATATAGCCCATGCAGAAATCCGCATTGAGCTGCGACGTTATGCAAGCATGACTCTTTTAGGCACTCAGATCCAGAAGTCGGGGCACGAGGCAACAGACTTCCGGTGAGCGAAAAGGTCTGTCGTAGAACATTCGGAATAGTCGGCATCAGAGTTAGCATTTTTCATGGTGTCATTCCGGCTGCTTGGGTAAACACTGTAAGCAAAAATGCGGCCTATATTAATTCGCTGCATTTCACCATGATCATTCAGCATGAACCAGCTTCGTTGGTGCTTTCGTCCAGAATGAGGCCTATTTTCAAGACAATCGCACTCTTTGGGGCGAACGGTCAAGTTGGCAAGACTGTTTTCGAGGCTCTCATGCGTTGCAAAGATCCTGCCTTTCACATTATAGCTTTTGTCTCCCCCAAATCCTCCTCCCAGCTTGAAAGCCTGGAAGATGCTAGAGTAACAATCAAGCGCGTCGATCTGAACATGGTGACTTGTGATGAGCTAGCCACTATCCTTGCTGATGGTAGGGCTGATGTTGTGATCAGCGCTCTTGGTGGTCAAATTATCGCCAAGCAAGGCCTCGTCCAAGATGCGGCTGCACAGGCAGGAGTCAAGCGATTTTATCCCAGTGAATTTGGAATGCATCAACTACTCTGGTTACCAGGAGAACCAGCCTATATCCATCCTGTAAGTGACCCAGCCCATATTTTTTTCATTTTCCTCCTCCCAACTGTGAATTGAGCTAACAACTGCAAGATCTGGGATGTGAAGATAAGATGCTTCAAGGAGGCCATTCAACACCCCGCCATCAAAAGCGGCTCAATGTCATATACAGTGATAGGATGCGCCGACTCGTATGATGCTGCCAAAGAGCCGCTCTTCTGCCCTTGGCTGGAAACAGAAACAAGCTTCACCCAAGATGGTTACACGATACACTGCGTTGGGAACCCAGAAGCCAAGATGGACTATTCGACTCTCCACGATACCGCCAACTTCCTCGTGGCTAGTCTTATTCACCCAGAGCTATCGGAAAACAAATGCCTAGGGTTTAGGAGTGATCACATCAGCTTTCGAGAGGTCGCCGATCTTTTGCGGAAATACTCGGGCAAGCCCGTCAGGCTTCAGGTCACTCCAGTCGACCAAGTGAAGGAAATCCTCAAGAATCCCTCATCTGCGCCGGTCGAGTGGCACCGAAGAAGCACATTCCCGATTGATTTCTTTCTCACTCTAAGGTGTGTTCAAGGCCAGGGTGTGTTTTGGAGACCCCCTGGACTCTTGCACAACAATCTTTTCCCCGAAGTTCAACCCGTCACAGTAGCTCAGTACTTTGAGAGGTTGTTCAAAAAATGAGATCGCTTGCGATGGGGGCTGATGTGGTTCAGCCTAGGGACTGGGGGGAAAATAAATGTGGATACACGCTCAGATTAACCCCTCCAGATATTTACTCACCACCGGAAAACATTAAGACCTTGTTGCAGCAAGGGGGCGGTGGATTCCACCTATCGAGTCTACGTGCTATGACGAGTCTCCAATGCAAGACACTTAGATTCTCCTCAGTACATCCTCACGAAGTGGGACCAATCAAACTCAGGGCTGTGATATCATTCTGCCAGGTATCCAGTAGGCGTAGACAAAAGAGGAAACACGCAGCTAGAGTCTGTAATTTGACGTCAGTGAGACGTTGCACATTTTGCCTTAACTCTAGCAGCCTAGTACTGAGAAATCATGTATAAATGAGTGCGTTGTGATGCCCCATCTATGCTTGCTATGCCTGAAGGATAGACGATCAAACCCACCGAGTCTTCCAGCATTTGTCTTCCAGCATTTGTCTTCTACCATGAATGAAAAACAAACAACAGATATTCCCACGGAGAAAGAATGCCTTCAAACCGGGCACCGACTCCTCCTAAATTTCCTTGCGGGCATGGCCCATGAGGAGCCGGATAAGCCGGTCATGCGGCAACTGTTGCCATCTGCGACCAATGCCCCGAGTGACCGGAACGAGATCATTCTGGGCTACAAGGGTCTTATGCGACTGGTTGATAGAGTGGCCTGGATGTTGAGTCGTAGCCTCTCACCGGAAGATGCCACTTCACAGACTGTCGGGTAAAGACCTACTACCTCCCCGCCTCTTCTTGCTTTGGAGAGGATATACTAAGTGCTTGAGAATCTAGTTATTTGGGTCCAAGTGACCCAAGGCAGCTGCTCATCGCGTTGGCAGCGACTAAGTTGGACGCAAAGGTATGTGCTGACACTGGAAGTGGCCTGGGAAACACATTGTCTCACCACTACTTCTTCAATTGGTATTCCAGGCTCTGCTGCTCTCGCCCCGAAACAGTGTCTCCATGCATAAAGTGCTTCTCGATGAGTCTCATTCAGCACTTCTTCTTTGTGATAATGCTTTTGCTACCGCAGCGACCGAGATAAGAAAGCAGCAAGACATTGACCTTCTTTTCATCCCGGATTTCGTGGATCTTGTGCATGATTCGAGCCCAGTCGAGTCCTCCCCATATGTGGAAACCTGGGCCACCTCCCGTGGCAAGCCTCTAGTAGTATGTCACCTTAGAACAGAGCGAGCGAAATGGGATCAATTCATCTAACGTCTAGCAGACCCTGCATACTACAGGTTCTACTGGTAATCCCTCGCCGGTCACTATGACTCATTCCGCGTTGTCATCACTCGACGCGCAGCAGGATTTGTCAAAGAAAGATGCCGCCGGGGACAAGTGCCAGCTTGAAATTCTCGCTGAAGCAGCGACAGTGTATATGGCATTCCCTCTGTTTCATGTCGCGGGGTTCGGCCTCAGTTGTTACTTGATCCTCTCGGGCTGTACGCTCTTATTCGGATATCCTCGACAACCACCTAGTGTTGCAGCTTTGAAGACAGTGCTCAAGGTTTCCAACGTGGACGGTGCCCTGTTGCCGACATCTATTATTGATGAGCTCTCTAGGAATGCCGACCTATTGAAAATGCTGCCGAAGCTGCGGTACATATTTGGCGGAGGTGGTATGATAGCACTACTAGGTCCCAGCGGCTCTGACTAACACGATAGAATAGGCACAGTATCCAAAAGTGCAGGCGACATCGTTGTACAGAGCACGCGTTTACTCAACGGTTTGGGTAGTACTGAGTGTGGATCATTCATCCAATATCCGACCGATCCAACCTATTGGGCATACTATCATTTTCATCCGTGGAACGGTGTGAAATGGCGACCAACCTCGGACCAGGAGTCGCAAGGCGAGGATTTCGAGTTGGTACTCCAGCGTGACGACTCCTGCTTGCAATATCAGGCAGTGTTTCAGAACTTTCCTCATCTACGAGAGTGGAGGACCAAGGATGTCTTCCGGAGACACTCTCACATCCCGGACTACTGGGAATACCGGTACCGACTGGATGACCTGATCGTCTTCTCAACCGGAGAAAAAATGAACCCATTGCCGGTGGAGGCCGAATTGAGAGACATTGCGGGTATCAAAGAAGCCCTGGTCGTGGGGAACAAGCGATCTTGTCCTGCAATTCTTCTTGAAATGGATGCCAGCGAGCGCCATGGAGCCGAGAGCGACTCCATCGACAGAGAACGAACGACCATAGAACATGCGCTGAAGTCTCAGAATGCGAAAAGCTCCCGAGATAGCCAAATACATGACAGAATGGTGATAGTAGCGAGTCCCAGCAAACCGTTTATTCGCACGGGGAAAGGCTCCGTGCATCGAAACAAAACGCTCGAGTTATATGAGACCGAGATTGAGAGACTTTATGGCCGAACCGAGTCCTCTGAGCCTGAGCCTTCAGGCCTCGAAGAAACTAGGCTTTGCTTATCTTCCGAGCATGCTCTTGCAGTGGGCCTGGTTAGTACGATTGGGAAGCTTGAATCATGGCTAGCAGATATCGATGTGACAACAAACATATTTGCGGCTGGGATGGATTCCAAACACGCGCAAATTCTGGCATCGGTCGTCTCCAAGGTACTGGCCGATCAGGGACGCGGACGAAACCTTCCTGTCGAGGCAGTCTACGAGAACCCTTCACCAAAACAAATGGCAGGCTACATCATGCGGCAGACTCTTCCATCTGAGGGACGGGCAGATGACTGGAAAGATTTTGATTCGATATTAGACAGGTAAGAGGTGTTGGTGTTCACCTGTATCCACGGCCTTCTTGCTTATGGTTTCCCTAGGCACTCTCAGACCCTTGCCAGAAGCCCCAACAAGGCTTATCTCACCCCTCGGGTCTCTGGCAAAAGACATGTTCTTATTACCGGAAGTACAGGGTTTGTGGGGTCGTATGTACTCAATGCAATCAAGCACCAGGAAGATGTTGGCCATGTGACGTGTCTGGATCGAAGGGAGACCCGGGACCATGCGATTGAGGGAGTCTACTCCAATGTTCCTATTGAGCATATAAAGACCGACCTGGCCGAGCGCCACCTGGGTCTTTCAAGAGAGATCTATCAGCGGTTGTTGGGAAGTGTGACTGATATCTTACATTGCCAATGGGCAGTGGACTTCAGTCGCCCTTTGGCGTACTTTGAGCCCAATATCGCAGGGGTCAAAAACTTGATCACTTTTGCTCACGAGGCAAGAGATAAGGTACATATCATTTTCCTCTCTTCC